GAAAGTACGATGGCCAACTAACAGCGTCATTCATTATTATTTCCAGTTCCTGTTACCTAGCGAGCCTCTCTTGTATTATACCCAATGCCTGTATGCCAGACTCCGCGCTGTCCGTAACAACCGAGGTCTACGATCTCTGCCTTACTATAGTAGATAGAACTGTCTTTTCCAGTATTTGCCATTGGACGCATAATGGTATGTATCAAGCAGGTTGTATCCATGGAACAATCCAGTAGCATCTCCGCACGTAGCCCAGCCACCAATAATACTTGTGATCAATCGTAGGCGGCAAATACAATAACCAGCCAGCATGGTTGGGGTGAAGGAGATCGGAAAACGCGCCGTGGATAATTGGGCCGGCAGCAGCCGCAGTCTCCGCCCAAAACAGCACCGCCAACGTCACTCATCCCAAGCTCTCCCCGGCGCCCCCAACTTCATCTCCTTCCAACGTGAGAAGAAACCTGATCGTTTTGCCTAGCGATGCTCTGTGCTGATCGCAACTGCAGATCACCAAATAATTTATGACCATGAACGCGTGCAAGAGAATGTTGCCCGGCCTGCGCTCCGTCGCAAACAAGTCGGCAGTTGTCCGGGCGCGGAGCTTTTCGGTCTCTCCCTTCATGAAGGAAGCGGCGCACACTCTGCCTACGAAGAAGCCCGTGGGCGCGTTTCGCGGGGGGTTGGTTTATCCTGGACTGCGCTTCATCAAAAGGGTTATTAGCTTACTGATCATGAACTAGTCTGTTCGGATTCCTTACTGGCGCGATTGCTGCCAGCGCCGGAGTCTACTTCTATGTCCTGGGCGAGTACAGGATCGCGAACGAGATGCTGACAGAAGATATCATCGTACGTATACTATTATCTCCCCAGATAGTACCTTAAGAGCTACTAATAAGGTAATCAGGCTCTTCAAGGAGCTACACAAAAGCTGCAGACGTACATTGGTGAACTAGAAAGGAAGGTGGACCAGTTGCAGAAGAAGAAATAAGCTTGAACATTCTCATTAATGCTGAACTTATTACCCCGTTCATTCAATTCTTTCCATTTGTTTGCTCTGCGACATTCATATTCCCTTTTGCTATTCTACCGCGCAATTTCATCTTCGGCTCCCAGCATCAATCATGTTGTTTAGTTCCAATTGCAGGGTCTGGCACAGATGAGCGCCAGGAGTAAAACAGCGATGGAGGATCGCGTAATGAACCCACAGCCCTGTATACGAACAGTAATTATCTATATGTACACTAATACCAGCCATGTATGTTCTTCCTTTATCATCTAGTAGATATATCAACCAGTTGGCGGCAAGTCGCTGGCGTCATCGAGAGCAAAGCTCCCTTGCAAACAAGACAAACCCCGGCACGGGACCATCTCCGTTCTCTCGAATCATCCATCCATTTTCGCGGAAATTCAAATCCATCCCATCGATTCAAGTCCATCATCGCCCTTAAAACATCCTGAACCGAACCATGCCCTCCATCCTCACCTAAACCATGTTTCACGTCGAACTCCTCCCCAACAGCACAACCACCCACGCCACTCCGGGGTGGACCTACGTCCCCGATCGCGGTTTCGACCCAGCCAAAGCCGCCATCACGCCCGCCATCGGCCGCAAGCGCGGAATCCGCGATCCAGGCCGAGCGGACCTCTCCTCACGACAGAACAATGCCATCGTTCGACATCTCGCGGAGCTGGATCGCGAGAATCACCGGGACGTGCAGATCTCAATTCCAGTAAAACAGAAGGATGCGTCTGGTCGAGGTATGCCATACATACGCACACATATCCTACGTTCACGGAACACGCCCATGCTAACCTACAAACCCCCCAGGCACAAGAGGCAAAGTGACCTCCAACGTCCGCCGAATCCTCCAATCCCAAAAGACCTTCCGCAATTACCTCGACGACGAAGAAGCCGCTCTAGCGCAACAAGCATCCACCCAGCAAACCCAACAACAAACCTCCTCCACCTCCTCGCACCGCCCCTCCATCAACAAAATCACCAAACCGGGCTCTACCTCTCGGCGCAGCTCAACGCCCCTAACAGCAGCACCAACACCTAAACCCGATACCTCCTCGCGCATTAATCGCAACAAACAACACCGCCCCTCCTCCACAGCCCCGACCTCCTCCCGCGCCTCAACAGTAACCACCGCCGCCGAAACAGAAACAGAAACACCAGCCTTCGACAAAGACCAACCCCAAGACAAAGACAACACCGAATCGAAGGAGGAGAAGGAGGAGCGAAACCCCCATGAATTGATCAAATCCGAACACGACAACGACCCCCTTTTGAAATCATATATTCCCTCTGCGCCCTCGGAACGTATCATGCAGGCTTTGCTCGCTGAACCGCCGTTGACGTATCATGCATCGCGCGCTGGCCCGCCGATCGCGAAGAAGTCGCCGCGGTATTTCTGCTGTATGTGTGGGTATTGGGGGAAGATTCGATGCAAGAATTGTCATTTGAGGACTTGTGGGTTGGGGTGTTATAAAGTGCATGAGGATTCGAGGTGCGGGGCGTTTTTCTAGCTGGGATGAGGGGGAGGTACTCATACTATGACTTTTCTGATACCCCATTAGATGCAACTAATTATGCTATTTCAAATCTAGCAATGCGTCTAAGCAACTGCTGTATAATATTCACAGATAGAATCAATATTTCAAGTCAATACCAGCCCGTGCTTCCTCTTCACGAATCTCAAACATAACCTGCACTCCCACAAACAAAGCACAGCACGCTGAGATGAGGTAGATGATGCCGGCCCAGGACCCCAATATACCGGCCAAAAGGCCCTCCAATCCATCCAACCCTAAAGCGAATCCGACCAGGTTTGCGATCATCATCATTAGAACGTTTCCGACTGCTCCAACTCCACAAAGGACACGGTACGTTGTGGGGCGCGAACGCCATTTGCTGGCTGGGAACAGTAGTCTGCCGATGACTTCGGGCAGAACGAAGAGGGTTATAAGCCAGCCCCACATGAGGAGACGAGGGTTGATGTCATGCCAGAGAGCAACAAAGGTGAAGACAATAAGCGTGTTGAAGATCTGGCGGGCCTTGGCGTAGATCCCGGAAGATTTGCCGCGGTCGGCACTTCCTCTGCTGCCTCCACCCAGGGGCACGTAGAGATAGCGCACGATCCAGCGGTTGAAGGAGCGGTGCCATGCGCGCCAGAAGGAGGAGGGAGAGTAGTTGTTCGAAACGCAGCGTATCATGTTTTCGGTTGGGTCAATTCCGTCGACTAATGCCCAGAAACGGAAAAACCGCCATGGAATCAGAAGTTTAAGCCAGATGATATGCAGATTGAAGTATGCCAACATGCTGAGCTCGCCAGCTGTGTACAGGGACCAGTCGGGGGACGCCTTCGAGATAGCCACGGCGTAGATGAAATGGAGTATGAGCTCCATGGCGAGTAGTGTCAGGAAGAAACGGACACCGTAGAGTACTGTCCGGGTCCGTGTAAGAGAGGGAGGTGCGTATCTTTGCTGGGAGATGTAGTCGTTGAAGGTCAAAATAGGGCCTGTCAAGTACAGCGGAGCGTAGAGAACATAGGCAAGGTAATAGCGCCCATTGAACGCAGCTGGCTCCGCGGGGATACTGACACGGTCACGCTCTGACAGTGCTGCAGGATCGACTTGTTTCTTCTTATCTCTGTCAGCTTGGGTCCCGTACCGCAGGGGAAATGGACTTACTTCAATGGGACTGGCAGCGGGGTAGTCGAGGCTCCAATAGTAATCCATGTTGAAACTAATCAGTCGAAGGATCGTAATGTTGAAGAGAATCTCCCATCGGGGCATGATACCACCAAACCCGTCAAGGTAGCGACCCCAAAGTACCAAGGGTGCCTCCTTGTCTGCACCGCTCGGGGCCACGAACAAAGAAGCCACCCATTCCAAATGGTAGCCGGAACAGAGTTCGTTCGCAAGCAGCGTTCCGATATTAAACAACCAAGTTGCCGCAGGGATGTACTTCCTGGGGAGATTCTTGGAGATTTTGTAGTTCACATATAGAATTGCGAGGACCTTCAGCGCGGAAACACCGTGAAGGGCTGTGATGAAGACGAGCGCGAAATAGAAGTCGAAGTTTATCCGCTGAGTGAGACGAGCATCCGCAGCAAGGACTGCCGGAGAAGCCTTAGAGGACCCGGTATCTCCGGCGACTGGGCGTACATAGCTGTTGTATAGACGGCGAAGCAAAGGGTGTCCGACTAGTAGCAGCAACAGGTATGGTATATTATCGCGGAACGAGGAATACTGGTCATCGGAGTTGTCCTAGCAGAACAAAGAAGTTAGCATCTGATAGAGAGCAATTGGACAAACTACTTACAACTTGGCGTCCAGGTATCCAGCCAGGCGACAGCAAATGAGCGTAAGTCGGATACGAAGGATGGCTCTCTACAACATCAAGTCAGCATAGCTGCTCCTTTTGTAACGAAAAAGTGGTCCAGGCCCTACCCTGCGACACCCCAATGGCCGTGATGAACATCAACGGCACAGCGATCAAGAAGATCACATAGTAGATGTAGAACTCAAAAGTTCGCCATTTCGGAGGGGGAGCATTGCGCGCAATCGCAATGGCACGGGCATCTCTGGCGGAGGGAGCTCGCGTGTGACCCGCGGCAGCTTTGGGCGGAGTAGTGGAAGAGGTAGTAAGGCGGGTATCTAGAGTATCAAGGGAGTATAAACTCCGAAGCCACGGGAGTACTGAAAGAGGCATCTTAGCACTAGCATTGCGTAGTGCAACCCCTCAAAGACAAAGGAAGAGGGGAGACACCGTAAGGACTGAGTGCGGAGAGCAACAGGAACGGATGTTGGGGGAGATCATCGCGGATTCCATTTTTGGCTCAGGGGCGGATCTCCGCTGGGGTCACGGGCTGCTGGTTATGCCGCTGTCAGCACTGCATACCAAAACAGTCAGCATGGATTGAACTGGAAATAGCATTATATTACATAAGTATCATTTCTATATCATTATAATTGATCTGATACCCTGCCATTCACGATATAGTAGTATTCTCGTGCACTTGAACTGGCTCGATAAGTGACTAATCCAGATAAACCGGCATTGATTGGCCACAAACAATGTCTGACCCGATCAAGACTAGCGTACGCAGTTGCACCCCTCATGATATCAGATGACTAAGCCATTGCCTGCCTCACCAGCTTCAAGAGAACAATAACCAGTCCATAGACATCAAAAGTCGGTGATATCTTCTTTATGCTTTGGAACAGGTCATATACATCTATCAATATGTCATCGCAACGTGTAAGGCTTTTCCCCCCCGACCCTTACCCAATACACAATACACCCTTCCCCGGGGTCGCTACGTCATCTATAACAGATGGACTAACACAACTACCCCCAGATCGCATTCAAAGTATCTGGCACGGTCCAAGGCAAGTTCACGTCAATGCTCCTAAGCAACACCTATGAAACTATTCTTTCTGTAGCAGACAAGTCTAATACATAGTCTGGCAGGAGTGGGATTCCGGTAACTATACCCTACCTTCTGCACGCTATAGATGCACTTCTCGCTAAGCACGCCGCGATCTATAGGGACTTTACTCAGAAGAGAGCCACTGCATATGATGTAAAAGGCTGGGTGAAGAACACACACTGTGGAAGGGTGTGTGCTGTCCCTTTTACTTTGCATCTGACATTTTGCTTGTTTCTTTTCATGACCCTTCTCCTGTGTTAATATCAGGTAAGATACTTTTACTAATACCATACAGGTAGAAGGCGAAGCCCAAGGAACCGAAGAGTCTCTCCAGAAGTTCCTGAAAGACATCAACAATGGACCCCGCCATGCACATGTCGTCAAGCTAGAGAAGAAGGAAATCGCACCGAAGGATGGCGAGGTAGAATTCGGATTTATGAAGACCTCGGAGTCAGGATATGAGGCCATGCAGTGATATAATATCTTTCCCAAATACATCTCTTTCTGTTTATAGCGTACCGCTTCAAACCCAATCCTTGTTTGTCCTTCTGACACGAACTACTACTAGTAGTTGATAATGTAATATTGATCCTAGCCCTTCCGACAACCCTCGTATTGAAAGGTCATCGGAAGCCAAGCCAGTTATTTTCAGAAGCAATGACAACATCAAACGGAAAATGCAGGAGCAACAACAAATAGTCTATTTCTAATATGTTCACCGGCCCCTGTCTGACGTCGGGGGCCAGAAATGAATGGAGCGAGCAGACCCCGGCGCAATCCCGAACTATCTTCGGCATGCCTTGACTCAAACGGCGTTCCGGGATCTCCCGGTAAGGCGACCTGCCATAGAACACGGGGTCACAACTTGGGTACATTTGGATGTAGATTACTATTCATTGTAAAGATCACATTCAACTTATGTCCTGAATACCAAGCTCTATCACAATGTGTATACAGTTATCCAAAGCAGTACAGCAAAAAGAAGAGGTTTTCAAGCAACATTTCATAACAGTCAATCCAAGTATTCCCAATTAGATAACCACCAATCAACCACAACCCATACCCCATACATCACCCCCGAGTCGCCGATTGTAAAAAATCACCCACCCCGAGCAAAGATACTAACTAAGAAAGTAAATCACGGAATTCGCGTTCAACAGACGCCGAGCATACAAAATGCCGAAAGAACTACGTCAAACAAGGGGAGGACTCCGGGTCACGGGGACCAGCCCAGAAGTTTACAAGGAGTCGCCCGTAATCAGATAACAGCAGCGAACTTACGCCGGAATATCTTCCCCTTCATCTTCAGGTAGAGAGATAATGGGAAGCATTTTAAATCTGCTTTCACTTCGAGAGTAGACAGAGCATACCAACTACCCATATGCTCATAAGTAAGATACAACTTTCAGGTGTGGTCATCGAGCGTCCCTATCGAAAGGCATTCCATACCTCCCGTACCTTCTATGTAAGTTCTAGGCTGCGCTGGGATGACCCACCGGGATATTGCAGGCGCTTGGAAGCTTAACTTGGTTACGAATGTCAATTCAATGCGAGGGAATAAGTCTAGCTAGTGGTTGTAAAACGCTAGTAATGGGGTTGCTGAGGTAGGCTATTGGGACCTGGAAATTCAGTGGATTTGTTCGATAGAGGATCTGCGGTGAACATACTTGGTTTGGGGGGAGTTTGATGCCGAGCCTGTAGTATTTGGGCTATTGTTAACGCTATCCCTGTGGTGGTAATCAAAGCAGAGCACTGTAAGATGGGAAAGGAAGTTTCGAAGTAGTAGGCCTTACCACTGGTACTAACTAGTAGTATCTTCGAAGCCCTGCATTCCAATTCTTATAGCATATCTGACACTTTGTATTTTACGACGTGGTTTAGCTACTACCGTACGAAACCTGATTATTCTCAAAAACAAAGATATCAGGCCTATGATTAACTCAACAGCGATAGCGATAAACATAGAAAAGTCATTAAGACAAACCCCCCCAAATACCGCTCCCTGGCGTGGCGACAACAGCGGCAACCTTGTAACTAATCCAGACCTTGTAAAAAAAATTATCCATGGATACGAAAATTGCTTGGAAATCTCTACTGCAGACGTGGCTGAGCAAATTTGAGTTGTTAATGCTAAGATAACTAATCTCAGGGTCAAAAAGCCTATACTGGGTCCCTGAAGTCTTGGTATAGATGGCTCCGGGTTTTCTCGATCCGCGTGACTTTTTCTCTCACTCCTGCCGGTTTGTATGTATGGTTCCGGGCGCCAGTGCCACTCCCGGCTTTTGCCGACCCTTTCTGCCCTGTAGAGTCATACCCTGGATACGAGACAATGATTTAATGTTGAAAAATTTTGCTGGGGCTGAAGAGTATAAATAGGGATGGGGGGTTGTACATGTAATTAGTCTGATACATAGGATATCGATCAAGCAATAAGTGAATACTTCATTATTGAGTTTTCCATATTATCTTCTACTACGAGCATACCGACTGCTTTCATACCCAATGAATTCGTTAACAGCAACGGCGCCCATTCGGGCTGCCATTCCAAAGTCATACATGCATATCGCTACTCGAAATTACTCCGGTGTCATTGCTATGAGCGGTCTGCGCTGTAGCGGGTCGTTGGTGGCAAATAGACATCAGACAGCTGGGAAGCGATTCATATCAACCACGCCCAAGTCGCAGATCAAGGAATTCTTTCCTCCCCCGACTGCTCCTCATGTGAAGGAGGTGGAAACAGCTTGGGTCCATCCTGTGTACGTTCATTTCGCGCGTGCATGATGATAGTGAGTGGAGCTGACAACAGCAGCTATACCGAAGAGCAGATGAAACAAGTCGCAATCGCGCACCGAGACGCAAAGAATTGGGCCGACTGGGTTGCGTTGGGAACGGTGCGGATGCTGAGATGGGGCATGGATCTTGTGACTGGATATCGGCACCCTCCCCCAGGCAGGGAACACGAGGCCAGGTTCAAAATGACAGAGCAGAAGTGGCTTACGCGCTTTATCTTCCTGGAAAGCGTGGCTGGCGTACCAGGCATGGTGGGAGGCATGCTGAGACATCTGAGAAGTTTGCGGCGCATGAAGAGAGATAATGGATGGTATGCTACATCTCGTGATTGTCAAAGATGACAAGACACTGACCACGTCTAGGATTGAAACACTGCTGGAGGAAGCATACAACGAGCGTATGCATTTGCTGACCTTCCTTAAGCTCGCAGAGCCCGGATGGTTCATGCGCCTGATGGTTCTTGGAGCACAAGGGGTTTTCTTCAACGGATTCTTCCTGTCTTACCTCATGTCGCCACGCATATGCCACCGTTTCGTCGGATACCTCGAGGAGGAAGCGGTGATCACATATACCCGCGCAATCAAGGAGATTGAAGCTGGAAGTCTTCCCGCATGGGAGAAGACGGAGGCCCCCGAGATCGCCGTGCAGTATTGGAAGATGCCAGAGGGCCAGCGCAGCATGAAGGATCTCCTGCTGTATGTTCGGGCAGATGAAGCCAAACACCGGGAGGTGAACCATACACTGGGAAACCTAAACCAGGCGATCGACCCCAACCCATATGCCGCCAAATACAAGGATCCGACAAAGGCGCATCCGAACAAGGGGATTGCAGACCTGAAACCCACTGGATGGGAGCGGGAGGAGGTGATCTGAGTTCACATGCCAGATATTTTGGTTTCTTTCACAGACAACCGGCTGGACCGGGTCTACAATGCGGCTTGAGCGTCAGCATATTATTGTCAGTGCAACATCGGGCTTATCGAACTGTTGGTGTTGATGTTTCAAAAATCCTAGATTAGCACATTCAATTTAGCGAATAGATCTCCTCTCAATGATGACGACAATGGATGTTATGAGCATGGATAATGTTTCAAGATTCCGCTCCGAGATGATCAGGAGTGATAAATCCCACCAGTAGTGATGGGCGCGGGTGTTCCTGAGCGCAAAGATGGATGGAAAACCATGCCGAAGTTTGGATGCGGGGCTTCCAGGCACCGGGGAGGCGCTAAGCCCAGGCAGGACAAGGGCCGCCCGGCCGGATGACTTTCTTGGGACGCTTTGCATGATTCCCTCTAAGCACTTCCTAAAAAGGAGGTGGATATCTGGAAGTTCGGAGTCATCAACCTGACTCGAGTGATGAGGCGAACAGCCCTAACTCAGGGGAAGAGCTAAATGAAGCAGAACAGAGAACAAAAAAAGAAAAAAGAAAGCAATCGGCACTGCTATAAATAACAGTGCAAGGACTACTTATCTAGAAAGTACCACGACAACTCCCGGTGGCCGACGAGTTGGCACCGCGGCCATCGACCCGCTTCCCCTTTTAGTGGTAAAAATCCCCCTTTCGAGTCACGCCCAAATTAAATTCGTCGGCCGATCGATCACCATCACCAGTCACTCATCCGAGGCCCTATCCCTATTTTTAATCACGTCAAAACGGTTCCTGTTCCCCCCCGGACGACCACCTGTCCTTTCCTGCTTTAGTGTGAGGCATATCCCATCTCTCGCCCAAACCGGATCTGTGCCCTCCAACGCCATACCGTTGAGATCTATCGTCTGCGAAAGTGCCAACCCTTCCCATCAAACGCATCGTCCAAAGCTTAGCATACGCCCAATATGGATGAATCTGTCGAGCCCGAATTCATGGCCCCTGTCCGAGCCTCGTCGCCCTCCCCCTCCATCCCAGCGACGCCGGCTATCTCCTCCTGTCCCTCACCAGATCGTACCTTTTCGACCATCTCCTCTCTGTCAACTTCTTCCGCCACTTCCGCCGATGCCAGGTCTTCCGTCTCCATCTCATCCAAGCGACGAGGATACATTCGCCCTCAGGGGGTCGAGTTTGCGGAGTCCGCCAAAAACCGGGAGAGTGTCATGAGTCTGGGTAGCATCGCTCATCTGCAATACTACTTTGCACGAACCGGTCTACTGGACGGCAAAGGTGCCCAGGCTAGGGAATTCAAAAAGAAAAAGAAGCCGGAGGATATGCCGCGACTGCTCTTGACCCCCAACGCTCGGTTTATCGATGACTTGACTCTCAGTCCGACCAGTGCCAGTCCCACCGATGACGAAAGTGAAAGCATAGATCCTAGGGAGGAGGTGTATGACGAGGATGTTGAAGTCATGCTTCCTCCCACGGTCAGTACCTACAGCATCAAAACGCATCACATCCCGCCCCCACCTAAACTCAAGGCTCTGCGGAAGGATCTGCGGGACGCATTGGAGAAAGCCGAACACAGTATTGAATCGATCGATGCTCAAAAGGAACCGCCGGCGGAGATGATTCCCCCGCGGATTAGTCTTTCGAGTGACGATATGCCCGACGCTGCGGAAGACCCCTCGCGTCAGGCGCCTGCAGAAGCAACCCCGCAGACCTGGCAAGAGATCCAGGGCATGCGGGTCCTAGACACTGTCACTTTTGCGATCCGAGCCGCTAAAATCTACTACACTGCGCATGAGCGGCCCGATCGACTGGCGAAGATCAAAAGCGAGCGCGAAATACGGCAAGAGCTGTTCAATGTGCTGGAGGTCCTGAAGCGGTGGGCGTCCCGAAACTTTGCAGACGGTCTTCGCGAGGATGAACGCTCTGGCATTGTTGGATGGATGGCCAACGTGCGTGACATGTTGGCCCGGGAAGCTCAACTGGAGTCATTTGAAGCCAAAGAGCGAGCCGCCTGGATCTGGACCGAGGGTGAATGGATCGGTAAGGAGCGCGAGCGCGAGACTTTGTTCCTGCGTAGTCTGATCGGCTCCGACGCGCAGCTGCCGACATGGACTGCGCCGGAGGATGGCTCACCGCCACCCGCCATGCTGGAACGGCTGCGGGATGGACGCGACCTGGTGCGCGCCCATAATTTTGCCGTCAAGAACTCGAAGCGGCCGTTCCTCGATATCAAAACCTACCATCAGGATGTGGCCAAGCCCTACCGACGGGCCGAAAACCTTCGCTTCTGGGTGAAGGCGGCGGAGCTCCGGTGGGAGACGAAGTTGGAGATGGATGTGATGGGGGTTGTGCATGGCAACAGTGAAGAGGCCTGGAAACAGTTCGATCAGGCTCTTCTGGCCTGGTGTAAAGTGGTGCGTGAGGAGCTCGTCCGAGACTGGCGCGAGAGGCGAGCTTCAGCAGCGAGTCTTCCACCCGATGATCTGGTGGTACGGCCTATGTGAGGGGGAACTTGGGGGAAAAGAAAGGGTCTACATGAGTAACTAACAACTTCGCTGGAGAGGGAAGGAAAGGAGAGTTGTAATGATTGGGACTGGTTGAAACTGATTGGGACCACGTATGGCGACTGGTTATTGCGTTTGTTTGCTGTCTACTCCGACGCCCATTGATACCCCTTACTTGTCGGAGTGCAGTCGGATTTGAATATTTTTTGGTGTCACTCCTCATTTCTTCTGCTGTCCTCCCAGCCACGTCAAGCTGGGAGAAGCGTATAAATTCAACTTTTGGTCATCTACAGTCCATGGGACTGTTGTGTTCGGTGCAGAGCACACCTTTTTGTTTCTTTTTTCTTTTTTCTTTCTTATCTTGTCCGATCATTCTTTTCTTAATCTATCCTGCACGGGGTCGCGGGAGGGATCCATGGATGGAAGTGTACATAGGAATGGCTGGCTGGTAGCGAGAATGCCATGTTTCGAGACGAGAACCATCCAAACAAAGTAAATCAACCAACCGAACGCCACTCAGACGGGAGGAAGAAAGATCCAAGGAGATGGAAGACAGGGAAAATACCCAAGAAACCGAAACTGGTGTAACGGTCAGGCCAAAGTCAATTTGGGTTATTTACCATTCCCTCGAGGATAGAGTTTACTGACGATTGAAAGGGAGACTGAGGGGATTATCCCCCGGTTATTCCTTACTATTTCCTCCCCCCAAACGGGTGATCGGCTGCCCGCCTGAGAGCCCGAAAGGGACAGGTTGCCGCTTATCCTTCATTCCAACTGGCTTGACCTCCTTCTTCTCTCTCTCTCTCTCCCTCCCTCTTCTTTCCCTTGCTATGTCCGCCCCTCTGCTGCCCAATCGTCTATCATGTAGTCAGTCATTCTTGTCAAAAAGCAGTTCTTCTTACCTTGGTGTTGGAGAAAAAACAAAAAAAGACAAAAAGCAAAGAAAGACAAGCAAAGAGCACAGACGGTGTAGCCCGACCGCCTACACATTCACAGCCCGATTACTCCATTCTTATTATCTGACAGGCTGAAACCGGATAGGGGCAGCAGCAGACGGACAGGGAACGGAACGCAAACTACACTACTTTCTACTACTTACTACCCAAGCACATACTAGCTGACATAGCCCGGCCGCAGCGTTGGCGCATCCTCAGCCCATCAACCACATTCCTCTACCCACCGTCGTTCTTCACTAAACACACTAGTTCCTGGCATCCTACAGGCCAGCGCCCATCCCCCTCGTGGATCGCATCCATGCGTGCCATGTCCACCGCGTCAACGGCTACCACTGCGACCACCCACCCCCCGGATGCCGGGGCCAACCTGTCCACGTCGCAGTTCTTCTCCTCCCCTCCTCCTCCTCCTCCACCCGCCCTGTCTATCTCCCATGTCGACCAGTCAATACCGCGACGAATCAAGTCCAAGTCGTCCCTACGAAGCCTCCGCAGCTTGGGCAGTAGCAGTGAACCCGACGATAACCAACACCACCACCACCAACAACACGACCTCGGCTTCGACAAGACTCTTGTCCGCCCGTCAATTCTCCGTCGCTTGTCCCCCGGCCTGGCTGCCCGCGTCAAGTTACTAGACGGTAGTAACAAACACAACAGTCCCTCTCGCAACCCCGGTGCCGTCGGTCGGATTCCCGAGGAACAAATCAAAGAACTCGACAAGACGCATCAGGATTTATCCAAATCCATTAAGATCGAAAAGAAAGGTCGCTCATGGAATGCTCTGCCTCGGCTACACAAAGATAGGAAATCCCACGAAAGTGATTCCAGCCACTTAGAGGTCCCCGAACCGCAGCTACCGGAAGCAACCCCAGAGGAGTGGGGGGAAGTACCGACACCCGACTCGGATCGTCCCCTGGATCTGCCTCCGGATCAAGGGTTGGAAGAAGAGGTTCCGCTGTCGGAAGAGGCCGAAGAGCCTGAAGAGGCTGTGAAGGTTGAAGCTGCTGGGGAAGACGTTATCGAGGAAGACCCTTTCGAAGGAGACGCTGTTGCGGAGCAAGGCGTTGCAGAAGAAATTGTGGAAGAAAGTGCAGAAGACGTTGCTGACGAGTCAGTTGAGGTAGAGGCTACTCTGGAAGAGCCCCAACCCGACATGTCTGTCGTTCAGCATGCTCCGGCGCCATTAGAGCCTAGGCCAGCGCCCCTACCTGACGTCCCCGAGCAGACAGACTTTGAGAAGTACATACAGAGCACCAATGAAGACGATTCGAATCCACCCCCGCCACCGCCAAAAGACTCTCCGCGCCCACGATCGACCACTTCCCTAAGCTCACAATCCTACTTCAACCCCCAGGGGTTGCAGCGCACGGAGTCCATCTACTCATTTTCTCGCGCCTCGTTTAGCAACCAACTCTCCCAGCTCACGTCCATCCCCCTTCCGCAACCGTCGTCGCTCGAGGCTAGTATCTCATCCATTGCAACCGCGCCTGCGGCGGTTCGGGCGCTCACCGGAGCGGCAGAGCAAATTCAAATATGGGTCAAGAAGGCCTCGGATGTGCTAGGGGGGTTGGATGCAGAGGATGACGTGGAGTGGGCAGCTGCGGCCGGACGAGAAGGTCTGGAGGGGGTGGACAAGGCGATCATCCGGTTCGAAAGCCTGATCAACGTATACGTCAGGGCGATCGAGGAAGTGCAACTGCGCGAGGATATTGGCGACGTGAGTACCGATAGCCTCCAGACGATCGTCGTGCAGATGGACACGATCATTCAAAGCTGGGCCAACATCAAGAATCGACTCCGGGGAGTCAAAGGGCAGGTTGAGCTGGCAATGGAGTGGGAAGAGCTGTGGGGGAACGTCTTGGGCGATGTGACGGTGGAGGTAGAGAGTCTCACCGGGCTGATCTTCGAGATGGAAGAAAAACGGCACTGGACGCTGGCAGGCGAGCAGGACTCTAGCGCCTCTGGGCTCGACATCAATGAGCTGGAGACCATCGTGGAAGAGACCCCATCCCAGGCGCAACTACTATCCAGCAAACGACTCAGTATAGATCCCATCCTTACCGGGCCACCGACGATGGACATGCCGGTCATTCAGACGCCACATGACGACACGAATCACTCGAACCTCATCGCGCTGTTCGCACGAATACAACCGTTGCGAGCGTCGCTTGATTTCTTGCCGATGAGAATGTCCATGTTTCAAGCGCGGGCTGAGAGGATCTTTCCCAGCGCTTGTGAGGAGCTCGAGGAGCGGCGAGGCCATCTTGAACAGAGCTTTCAAAAGCTGGAGCAGGATGCAGATGCGCTGCAGAAAGAGCTCAACGAAGACCGGTGGATCCTCGTCTTCCGTAACGCGGGTGGACAGGCGCAGAAAATGTTCGACTCGGTGGAACGCAGCATCGCAAAACTGCAGGAGGCCATCGAGACATGCGCCCATCTGCACGATGCAACGTTGTTTACGAAACGTATTGAAAGCTACGAGGCCAAGAAGCAGCACTATGTGGCAGCGATTGAGCGGGTAGTGTCGATTATTCGCAAGGGTGTCGATGACCGACTGACGGTGAACGGAGAGATTCTGCGACTGCTGTCGGACATGACCTCGAGGGTCGACGCCCTGAAGGCAAGTGTCCGGGTGATGGATGAGTGGTTGGAGGACATCAACTTTGTCCGATCACAGCATCTCCGGGACTCGATCTCCAGTATCATGACGATGGACAGTCCTCTGACCGGCAGTGTCGCCGATACTCCGGGGAGCTCACCGGCATCGTCAGTGGTGATGACGCCCGCGAACCCCCTCAAGGGCTCTGCTACGCCAATGGGAACATCTAGTCGACGTGGCAGCTCGGTCAGCTCTGCAGCGCGAACGACAATGTCCAAGATGCGACGGTACTCGGGCATCCCGCAGGCGACGGCCGCGCTGACCAGCAAGAAGTCGTCTCTCCCCAAGCCTTCGCTCACGGCGCCGTCACCGAGTCGGATGGGCGCCGCCACACCCACCCCTGCTGCGCGTAAGCCTGTCAAGCCGGCGCCGTCACCCATTCCCAATCGTCCGCGCTGGACCAACAGCACCAACACGAACGACCTATATGTCGGCCACGTGTACAAACCCAATCCTACTCCCCGCAAGCCCTCTGCTTCTGGCCGCACATCGCGGCCCTCGTCGACCATACCCATGGGACCGTTCCGGCGTGATATGTCGGTCTCTCCGGCACCGATGACGGCGCGCTCTATGAGTCGGGTTTCCAGCCGACTGACGAATCGCAGCCCAGAGCGCATGGGCTCTCCTACACCTAATCGGTCTATCCTCGACCCTCCTCCTTACAGCAAGCTCCGGCGGCCAGACGGCATGTCGAACGCGCCGCGCAGCCGACAGAGCTTTGCGGGGCTGTCGTTCAGCCGCAGTGTGTCGCACGACCACGAACGAAACATTGCCAGTCCGACGAAGACGCCGCGGCCGGGCACCGCGCTGGGGCATTCCGCGAACCGGCGGATCAGCTTGATCCCATTGCCGAAGAATAACCCGACGCCTCGCAGCAAGCTCGGAGAGCGGCCGCCATGGCGGTAATCGGGAAGATACCATACTATGTGACATAGCATTTCCGGGGTCTTTGATTTCTAGCATTTCCGTTGTTCGATCTCGCATTAACTTCACACACACTCATGTACTATGCATATTGGCATTGCGGTTCGGGAGCCAGTGGTGTCAGATACCAGATTACTTGAAGCCGGTTGTTAGATTGATTCCCCACTCGCATTGATTTAGGAGTATTTCATTGATTGAAGGGAGCGACTTCATGTATGGGGTTATGTTTTAATTGCAATACACTTTATATTATATATGTATATTATTTTATTTTCGTTTCGATTATACCAAGGATTTCCCAATGATAAGCGCATCAACGAGATCAGGACTATTCGCCAGACGTGCAGCACCGGGCACACGACCAATAACCTGAAATCCCAGATTCTCCCAGATCTTGACCGAAGCAACATTATTCTCAAAGACGAGATTAAACACGGAGTATTTATATCCCTACCCAGAATTAGCACCCACCCACCCAGAGACCCCCTTCTCCAAAGAACACAAAGCAAAAAGAATTGAACATACCAGTTTCGGCGCCACCTCCAAATAAGCCTCACCCATAACCCTCCCAACACCACGATTCCTGGCCGCCGGCGTGGTAAAGAACCCGGCATTACAAACATGCGAGCAGCGTCCTATATATCCCAATACCAGTTAGCATACATCCATAGATACATACATACTATCCCCAAATCCACCACACATATCATATCATATCAACAATCGAATAAATAATAAGGGAGGGGGAGAGAGAAATTACCTGGATAATTCGGCTTCACATAAAACGTCCCCAGACAAACCCTCTCCCAATCCCTGCCCTCCCTCAACCCATTTCCACTCTCGTCATCATCGACAACAGCTACCACTGCAAACGTCCCAAACCAATACGTCCGGTAGAGGTCATACTCGAGGGGCGATTCCATGGGATAGGTACATCCCTTGAGAATCTCTTCGGAGAATTCCCTGTGTAGGTAGTGGAGGAGAGAGGAGGGGAGGGTGTCGGGCCCCGTGGTTATGGGGTAGAGAGTGATGCGGGTGTTGTCGCGGAGGGTGCGCTGGATTGGGGGGAGGTGGGATGGGTTGGGGAGGGGAGGGGGGATGGTGGTGGTGGGGTCTTCGAGAAGGGCGGGCATTTTATCGTTCTCGTTTCTATTATGAGGATATGGGGGTGGTGGTGGTAATGGTGTGTATAAGGGTTGTGTGGTGAGACGAGAGTGGGAAGGGAAGAAGGGAGTTGGAATTGGAGTTGGAGTGGGAGTGGGATGGTGAGGGGATTGGGGTAGATATATATGTATGGGTTTAGTGTGGGGAATGAAGATAGATGTCGACGGTAGGGCGTGCGTGCATAAGTAAGAATTTTTAGTATGGCATTTGGAATAGGGATTGACTGGTTTAAGAAGTTCTTTCTTTTCAGGTTCGGTGGGGCAGAGGGATGGACATATATTGCCATGGGATTTCATTGGATTGAGGATGAGTGGGTGTGGCGAATGGTAATACTATGTAGTGTAGAATAGATTGTTGAATGTCATTGAGAGTAGTGTCTATCAATTGATGTTTTTTTTTTTTCTACTACTACGTATATTCTGGTGTTATAATCAAGCATGTTATGACTTATGAGGGATGTACATGCATATATATCTGCGTTCTGCATGTCAGTTAGGCTTATCAGTCCCGATATCCGAGATCGGATATTTCGGGTGGTTTCCGGTTGTTCGGTAGATTATTACTATATGGTCTCTTATAGCAGCTTTTTTATTGCACCTGAGAACCTTTTGATATGGGTTATGTGCTAAGTTGAGTATATTTGACGTTTTATAGTTTAGTTGGTTTTTTTCTGTGATGTCCATCTAATTCAGATCAATTTCTACTATATAAAGTCGGAGCTGATGTTCATCAAATGTACTCTACAACAATCCCATTAACCTCTATATACATAATCTACACAGCCATCAACTTATACCATATCATACAATCCGGGTATCCCAATTTCATCTCTTTCCCATACTTTCTAGACCTACCTCCCCTGCAATAACCTCATCGATCATTGCTTCTCCCCCTCCCCCTCCCCCTCCCCATCCTTATTCTGAATCGCCTGCATAAGCTCATACAACTGCCCAACCTGCTGATCTATCTCCCCAGTTAGCACACACACCACCCTACCCCAAACCACACCAGCGGATAGGCAGAAGGAAGGTAGTAACTCACCACTCATCTTATCCAATTTACTCTTATCCAACTTCTCCCCAATCCACGCATCTCCCTCCAATTTCTGCGCATATAATTGCCATTCCGTAAGGAAACCAATCTACCACCACCACAGCAATTAGCAATCCCATACACTCAACTTGCGATCATAGTAAGAGGAGATGGAGGGGATGTACAATATGCAACGGATTGTCCACATTCCGATGAGCCCGGAATTCACTCTTCACATAACCATCGCCCAGAATCCGCATTTCGGGGTCGAGTTTCTTGCGGTGCACGCGGAGAATCCGACGGTAGAGCTGCAGCGGCGGGAGCAGGGCCAAGGTCTCCGAGAGGCTGGATTTGGAGCCGAAGGTGGATGGCGTGGCGAGACGGCGGGCGGCCGTGGGGGTGAAGCGGAGGAATTGGGACATGCTGATCCTATTCTTTCTTTCTTTCCTATTTTCCTGATCTGTTAGGTGGGAGGTGAATTGGCAATTGGCAAGTTTGAAGACGAAGTCAGGGAACGATGGAATGAATGAATGATGAAATGCGATTACTGCCGCGGATCCCTCCAAGGCGGAGAACCAAAGTAAGTACCACTAACCAGCACTCCGTTTTTGGGAGGCCATGATTGGTTCGTTCATCGGAGTTTCAATCGATACTTACAATATTCTTTTCAACTAACTAACCCGTTATCACATCCCACTATATACCAATTCCCTGATTCCTTCCAATCCACCAAGAAAGAAAGAAAACAGAAGACGGAAATAGTGACAATAAAAGGGACAAAAATGCTCCCCACCCCCTGCACCTCCCACGTCTCCTTCGACACCATCTACGAACCCTCCGAAGATTCCTACCTCTTCCTCGACACCCTCTCCTCTTCTAGCGAATCTGCCTGGCTCACGAACCACTTCTCTCCATCAACATCCTCGCCCTCCCCGCTCCTCCTCGAAGTCGGGACCGGCTCCGGCGTCGTCCTCGCCTTCCTCACCGCAAACTCCCACCATATCCTCGGCCGCACTGATGTCCTTGCCCTCGGCACGGACGTTAACCGCAATGCATGTCTTGCGACGAGACAGACGGTTTTGAAGGCGATTGAGGAGCAGCAACAATCCCAGAATACCCAATCAACATCTACAGATGATTCTAAAACCTCTCAAATCAAATCCCTCATCTCCTCAACACTTACCTCCGACCTCGCCTCGCCGATCCGTCCTCACTCGATCGATATCCTGCTGTTTAATCCGCCGTATGTGCCGACGCCGGAGTTACCGCGGTTACCTAGTAAGGAGGATAATGATGAAGGAGATAAGGAAGGGGGCATGTCGAGGAGTGAAAAGTTCGAGAGAGAGTCGTATTTTCTCTCGTTGACGTATGCGGGAGGTAAAGATGGGATGGAGATCACGGAGAGGTTGTTGGCGGATATTCCGAGGGTGTTGAGTCAGAGGGGCGTGGCGTATGTGTTGCTTTGTGCGCAGAATCGGCCGAGGGAGGTGGTGGAGAGGATCATGGGTTGGGATGGGGATTTTGAGGGAGGGAAGTGGTGTGCTGAGTTGGTTGGGAGTAGTGGGGTGCAGGCGGGGTGGGAGAAGTTGGTTATTGTGAGGGTTTGGAGGGAGTTCACTTCTTCTTCTTCTTAGGAATTTAGGTTGTGTATAGGTGGGGGTTATTATATACTACTGGGAAAATAGATGATAGACTAATGAGTGATGATGATGATGATGATGATGATAGACGAGGGTATGATTGATTTCTGACAACACTTCATACATACTATGAAGTGTGTATATTTCTGTTCTTCTTCGTGTGTGTTTGTGTCGCGGCCACTGATTAGATAGATATACAGCAGAGTAAACTACTACTCTTCTCTTCTCGATCTCGAGTAGATTCGATTCGACTCGACTCGGTCATTCATCGACACGACCGACCGACCTGCCTTGCAGTTTCATCTCGAGTCTAATAAATGAAATTAGACCCGAAAATCCACCGCGCAACCCAACCCAACCCAGGAGACCTCGTAAATCACCGCCGCTTTTTCTTACCCATTTTCCTGGTCCAGCTTTTCCACCTCACACCCAGAACCAGACCAGTATCATGTCGAAACCCATTCAGCGCAAAATCAATCACCCAGCCATAGGATAGACAAGAGATAAAAAAGAGTCACAAAAAGAAACAAGAAAAAACTCCGATCCTCAAGTAGTTGTAGTAGTAAAAAATGAAATCGCAATGTCTAATACCGATCCCATCCAGCTTAGAATCCACGACCACGACCACGGCCACGACCGCGCCCTCTACCACGAGGACCACCACGACCACCACGGCCTCCGCGGTCGGCTTCCTTGCGCGCCTTGTTCTTGGGCTTGGGCGTGTCGTCGATCAGCAGCGTGTCGAGGGGCAGACTATCGGGCAGGATGTAGTAGCGGATCGTCGAGCCACGGATGTTGATGGTATCGAGGGAAATAGGGTCGCGGCCTTTGGGGGTCATTTTGACCGTGCGGAGGGAGGTGTTCATCTGGGGGGAGACGGAGGTGATGGTGCCGTGAAGGATGGTGCCTATTTCGGTCAGATTGATGGTTCACGAGTATTGGGGCAACTGATCTTCAAGCGCTGAAGGATTAGAGGGGTAGACGCACCATTCTTCAGTTCAATCGTCACCGTCTCGTTGGCGCACTTCATCAGAAACCTGTGCAGAGGATTGGAATTAGTCGCTGTGCAATCTTCGCGGGCACGAGCTGCGTCGGGCGCTCTGGAGCTGCTGGCTTACCGGACGAGCTTCATGGTTGTGGATTTACGCGCAAAGGCACTCAATCAGGGTAAAGAAATGGGGAAAATGGGTTGGGCGAGTCGAATACTAGCCGGCTTCGTCAGGGTCGAGTTGAGGTCGCTTGTCGACATCGCGGCTCTCAGAGGCTGAGCTTGGTTGACCGCCCGAGCACGTGACCGTCTACGAAATACAAGGCAGGATGGTTTATGTCGTCCCAGTATGCTTAATTGCACAAGACTAGCCAATATCGCTAACATGCCTAGATTAGCTAACAATATTCCAACCGAAATCGCTTCATGGTATCTTGTAGAAAGTCCGAACATGTCACCAACGCCCGCCAAGGAACCGGAAGTTACAAAACGCCATGTCGCGCCTTGAAGATGGCGATCTTGTCATCGTAGAACAAGATCTCTCGCAGCCGATACGATACTCGAGACTTGTTGTAATCCATTTCAGAACCCTCCCCGTCTGACGATATCCTGTCGTCTGACGACAGATCCGAGTGCGAGTCCATCGCGCTGATCCCGCCGTCGTCATCGGATTCATCCTCGTTTGTGTCTGATCCTGCCCACTCTTCGCCCCCAGGCACGAACCCCTCGCTATGGCTGTCATCTGTGTCATAGAACTCCCCGGCGTCGCCTTCTTTTGCCTCCAAGATCTCGTAACATTTATTTTGTATGCCTACATAGGTGATGCCCACCTCCGGACGGATAGTCACAATATCCAGGATCATCATCGCCAGTTCTTTCGGGTCTCGGTGAGCCTGCCGAGCGATATGTGGGATATGGAGGGCGCGAAGCTGAGGCATATACGGTAGCCTTTGAAGGAAATAGTGCTGCTGACGTTAGCACAATAAATGAAGAGGTCGCTTGGTACTTACCCAGTCCTTTGAGTGCAGAGCTATAGAGAGCTCCCGCAGTCGTGGCATTCGTCCGCTGCTGAGAAATGTGAGCATCTGGCGAGTGAACATCCACTTGTACCACCGCACACTAGGCATTTCGCTTCCCCCCGGTGCCCGCTGGGTGCTATCTACCAATATCTTTTGCAGGCTGAGATGATGGGTCTTGATAGCGTTCTTGTAGATGGCATCGATATGGACGATCGAGTCATACATGGGTGCTTCATGTAGGAATAGGGTTTGTAGCGTGTTGGGCGCAAGTGTATCCTTGATAAACAGCAGCAGATATGGCGACACAGCATCCGTGTGGATATGTCTGAGGTTCAAGCGATACTCAGAGGCACTTTGATCACCTTCGCGTCTACCATGTTTCGAGCGTGACGACACAGACGGAGAAAATTGCCGGCGCAGCGCCCTCCAAAGCTTTTCGTGGCTCTCACAACGAAAAATTGTCAAGGTTGTCAGCTGTGTCCAGTCGAGCGCGTGCAACGCAACTGGAATAGACAGAGGAACGCGCTCGAGTTCTAGGGTATCGAGCTTCAATATCTGGTGACTGGACCCCGGCACAGCCAAAGGCTTTTCCGAGCATGAGTTCGGGATCTCTCGTGACAATTTAGTCTCCGATGCGATAGGCGGCTGTTGTTGTGCTATGTGCGTATTCTGCATATTCAAGGCAATGGAAGCGATGCCGTCCGCGGGCAACGGAGACCCTGGAGTGCTATTTATTAAGGAAAGTGCCTGATTTTCCGGCTGATTATTCTCCGCAAGACTTTCAGGTGCCTCCTGCTTTGGTACTGAATCTGCTTGAATCCGACTGGGGTGTGTGGGCTCCTCAGATCTTCCAAGAACAACCCCGAGTACGCCGCCAGATTTCGGCCATCCGGAATGGCCGCGGGATGTTGTTGGCTGCTCAGCCTGCCAGCTTCCTGCCGGCTTCAACCAAGACGCTTGGTAGACCTTGCTAGAAATGCCAATACGTAATTCTTTCAAACGGTCTCTGGATCGCTCAACAAGTACAGCCATTTCTTCGAGATACGACGGTTCATCTATATCAAGGACACTCAAGCTCTTTAGCGGCGGGAGTATCGACAGAGAAGGGTATTCTACATGCCCATATCTCTGTAGTAGCGAGGAATTACTAGCTGACCCTGCCAATGCTTGTGTGTCTGGAAGCGTCACGGAAGATGCAGTGGAGGGCCCGGCCAACGGACGCATGGTATTCTCAGAGTTGTCGTGCCAACGGACCCAAACGCGCTGCAGACGACAATCATGGCCGGGCCGATTTGCTAGCGATGAAAGCGCTATCCACACATCTCTCAAAACTCCGGTAGGCATGTCCCAAACGAACGTCTCCAAGTTGACCATCCGAGCCACAGCCAGAGCAACTAGCGTCCCCAACATTTTGCCAGTCTCCTTCGTTACAGAGTACTCTTGGACCCAGACAAGGGGACCGTTGCCGACTGAGAATTTGCGAGTATATTGTGCATAGTAGTTGCCTCGACGGATCTTCAAGAGTGTGTCTGTAGGGTTGTCTTGACTCGGCGCAGGGCCATGGCAACCGCAATGGGGACAAGGTTGCGCTCGCCTTGGGGGTAGCTCGCGGAATATATCTTGTCCCATCACTAGTGTTGCAAGACCGTAAGAGAGAGCGTCCACGCCAGCCGGGTGGTCGGAGGATGACAGTGTTTCCGGCCATACGATATCAAAGCGAGAATACATCTGGGGGATCGCCAAGGAATGGAGGGCCGAGCAAGTCAAAGCGAGAGATGTGAGGTCATTCGTATGCGTTACCTGCAGTCATCCAAGTGTTAGTTGGTAGTAATGAGTTGTCGCAGCCAGTTGATCAAGTATAGCCCGTACCTCTTTGATAATCACCTGTAATATATCGATGGGCATATCGAGCAAGCGAAGAGGCCGCTCTGTTGTTGAAAGAGGTGTCGCATCCCGCTCCGAATGACTGCTTTGACAGGTTCCCGAGCCTACATCCTTTTGAATGCTATTGCGGGGTGGAGTCACCGGAATATCGACCGAAGTATCCTCCGTCTTCATTTCGTGTTCAGATCGATTCTCTGTCCGTTCCTCGGACCCATGGGAAGTGGTGCTGGCGCTGGACATGAACTCTTCTTCCTCATCTGTTAGATTTTCCACATCGGAGCTGACTCTTGAACCTAGAAACAAGCTGCTGGGACCAGTCATGTTACTGCTGGCGGATAATGTATGGTAGCTATCCATGCCGACTGAGGAGGGGCTCCGAGCACCAGACGGAAGCCAGGCACTGGCGCTGAGTGGTGGCGCAATTGCGAATCAAGAGCTCTCGTTCCGAGTGACGGTATTGAATAGGTCTGAGGGTCCGGAGTGATAATAAGGATGCTAGGAGCGGAAGTGACGGGATCGGATCCGGGGTAAATGAAGCAGTCGAGGACGGGGCGCCGGTGGGAACACGGGCAGATCGACCAGATGGCACCGCAACGAAGAAACCGCCAATCAGGGACCGGCGGTCAGATGCATGCTACTTGCCTCAGATCTGCATGCCACACATCAGCACGGCAAGGAATCCACTCTCGTACCGTCTAAGGACTGAAGAGAGCTGAGCGAGAACACAGAGGAGCACGGAGTACAGAGTAAGAGCTTGGAGATCCGTATCCTCGGTGGGACGCTGTCCACTTGGTGGCGGCGAGACGGTGGTTGGGGCCTCCCTTCCGGGCTTAGCGCCCCTCCCCGTGACAGCGGCCCCGGACCCGTGACTAGACATTTGTTAGATATACGCTACGGTTGCGGGTTGCTATAACCGTCATATCTATGATCTACAATACTGACTCGCTCACATTTAAGGTTGCTGAATCTGCCACAAGTACTGCATATACCCGATTCATTATGAGAAAAGAAAATAATACCCTCTGAAACAAGCATATTTGCTAATAACAATTGCTGATAAAAAACCTTTCACAGAAAGCGAAACAAAACAAGCATCCCAAACGGTTCATATGCTAGTAGTACTGTCAAGACAAAGAACATCGCACACCCGACCATGGAAGCCTTCTAGTCCCGAAGACTGGCTAGACCCCTGCGCAGATGCCAGCGCTGCTGATGTTCCGGGCATCAGGAGGACCCTCGATCCAATTTCGATCCACTCAACTGACGATACAAATTCGAATGTGATCTTGATATCGCCTTGTCCTGGGTTAATAGACGACTGTACCATCTCTTGTACCCCTGGTTCGTGACCACGTTCGTGGCCTGAAGTGTCGCCGTCAAATCTGAAGAACTCCGGTTCAGTCGGTGACGATGGCCGGGAGAAGACCTCATCCTCTGCAAGAGACATGCTCGACAGCTTCACTGTCGTGCGAACATTGGCCACATATACTGTGGCATTGCCTCCCAGCAGCACCGGCGGGGACAGCGGAGACGCGAACTCGCTAGACGGGAAGCTGGCTACGAAGCCAGTGTGAAACGGAAGGGTTCTTGGTATAGAAGCAGATGGTGCTGCCAGTTTGAGCAAGATGGAACCCTTTCGTATTCTTCCCAGTCGTGGCGCCTCCCCATTCGCAGTCAAGGGCAACGGTTCTATTCCGATCGTTCCCACTTGGTCTTGTGTCAGTTTTTGAACTGGGAGTCGCAGATTCCGCACACTGACTGCGCGGACACGTTGCCAGTATGCCTGCGGTGGGAAAGATGACTTCCCAGGTAGTGAGCCATGGACAAAAGAGGTTGAGAAATCCCCAGAAACGGGTCTGCTCCGATTCGCGCTAGAATGCTGAATGCTGTCCAGCCGTTTCTCTGATCGACTCCTCTGCCTCTGTAAGCAATTTCCCGAGTCAGAGGTGCTAGGCATCAAAGGTCCGACGAGTAGCTCGTCTCCTGCTGAAATAGATCCGTAGCGCACCAGACCACAGAGAACCACGCCATGAGCCTCCTTCCTTTCTTGCTCCGCAGTTACTGAGTATACCTTGGAGGGCGGAATAGCGAAGACTTCGTCAATATCAAAGAAATCTTCAGGAAGGGTGTAAGCAGCTGGTGCCTTCGACAATGAGATGTCCCGTGATGGCGGCTTCGCAGGAATGGGGAGGTATCGAAGAAGCGCATGAAGTTTTCCTATTCCCGAGCCATCCACCGCACTCGTAAGAACGATCGGGACAGTCGATTCCCAGCTTTCTGTATTGGAAATCAACTTCCGCACCTCTGCTGCATCCTTCGTCTCCGTACGCTGTAGATCCACTGCCTGGGCGGCTGGAACGGACATCATCGCTGGCTTCTTGCCAGATGATTTGAGAGCCGATAGTACTTTCGCAAGATTATTCCGCAGGCCTGAGCGGGATGCCATATCCATCTTGGTAATTACAACAACAGTAGGGATCTTCATCTTAGCACAGAGCTCCAGGTGTGATAACGCAAGTGTCATGTCTGCAGGCTGCTCAGCAGATTGGCCAGATTCCGTAGTAGCCTCATCATCGCAAGTTGCTGGGATGCAGAGAAGGACATAATGAGGGGCCCAACCGACCAGTCCTCGTAACGTGGACTTCATATAGCGTACTGAACCTGGTAGATCAGAGACAAACGCTAGACGCCCACCCTCCGAGGCGGCGTGGATATCATCCCACGCTGCAACGTTGCCACAGGCATAGTTGATTACCTCAACAGTTTGTGCCTGTGGTTCATCTGCGGCATATCCGATCAATTCATGAGCAACAGAGCTGGTGATCCCTGACGAGATTTCATGCCGATGTTTCAACAGACCTAACCTGCTTGTTCCTCTTCCATTGTCAAGCACAGACGAGGTTAAAGTACCTAATAGAGAAGACTTGCCAGCCGCGCTGGGGCCAGCAATGGAGATACGGATCTGCTCAGTACTGGAGGAACTGCCTAGCGAGTCTTCTTCCTTCGTATTGTCAGGAGATGAATCATCCTGCGACTGGCCTTTATTGGGTGACTTGACCCGATAAAAGTCCCAGTCAGGGCTTACCAACGCTTCTGCAACCCAAAGGCGCTCTGCATGGACCTTACTAGTATCCGCGTTCTCAGAGTAGGGATCTTCAGCCCATTCGCAACTGCCAACATTCACTCTGCGTAGGACATCTATCTTGCAGCCTAAGCTGGCGGCCATAACCTGCAAAGTGGACAAGCTCTCCTCCAGCTCATCTTGAGTGAGTCCAACAAACGTTCCATCATCAGCAACGCCGACCTCATACAGAGCACCCTGGCTCTCCTCTAGCCCGGGAAGTAAGCGAGCAGGTTTCTGTGCCTCCCCTAGCTGGGCTGTTGCTTCTGGAAGTACTGGCAGTACAAGATTTGCAGTCGTAGACGAATGAAAGGGCGATGACTGCTGTAATCGCCACAGAAGCTGCGTTGTGAGATGCTGCAGCCTTTGCTGACGGCTTTCAGTCGAGCGAGTCTGCTGCGGTTTCGGGTTTGACTCGTAGCTGGAAGGCGTGGGACTATCGGCTGACAAGCTTGCCCGGGAGTGATACGAGCCTCCCACGAGGTGGCTAGTAGACATGGAAACATAGGGTCGCCGAGGGCGTAAGAGCAAATGAAGCTTGTACTCTGTGGGGCCCTCTTGGGGTTCAGGGTCCAGTTTGGTGATCCCATAATCGGAGAGTGAATCAGGATCCGCGCGGTCCAGGTTCGTGCTTGAACGTGCTCGAGGCACCGTGCGATTGCCAGTTGCTGAGAATTGAGGGGTCGAGGACCCTGATGTGGACCACGGAGAAGAGACCCGCGGAGGGTCAGGATCGTATGTGAACACAGATGCCATGATGGTAAATACAAGCTCGACGGCAATCAAAGGCCGGCAAATGTAGGTTTATAGACAAAGAATGGTTGATATCTAACAGTGGGCTATCGTTAAGACCCCTCGGTATATTCGGTGTGCCCGTAACTGTTTTGTGCTCAATAAATGTACTTTTCCTTGTGTGTAGTTGGTTGATGCTGTTAGAGTCATTTTGAGGTTGAATTGTAGTTTGTCAAAGATTGATGAAGGGCGCGGATAAAACCGTCAGAAAGTGGATGTATTCTCCAAAGAAGGAACCAGAAGAAGACTTAGACAGTTTTGAGGCGAATTGAAGCAGTTGGCGGTTAGCAATGACGCGACATCTTGGAGGGGAGGCTGATGGGTGAGTCACTTGTCCTTGGGATGCGACTATTCATCGGAGTAAATACACGGTGCCCCGATCGAGTACCCGCCTTACGACATGACTGGGTCAGGTGACGGGCCCAGGCATCCACACGTGCTAGACGTGAGGGGTTACTGCCTGAGGCCCTTAGTGTGGCTAAGCCGCATCGTATTTCGGCTGCAGGGGCTTTGGTTTCAGATAAAACGAGCAGAACAATAGTTGTCGAAGGGAACTAGGAAGCCTGGTCTCTTTTAGTGCTTATGGTCTTTGACCCAGCCTAACACGGCAATGATGCGTCCACTACTGCACGTTGATTAATGGAATGTATTTGGGGTCCGTGTTTGAAGCCCGCTTGTGCGCTATCTGTCTTTCGCCAAAATGTGTCATAACTCGGTTTCTTCGTTCTCCACCGTGCTAAGAGACAGCCGGAAATGTAAAATGGCGACCGTCCTTACCGCAGTATGCTTTCGGCAAACGGACAGTCCGATGTAGATGATTTGAAACTCCCATCCAAAGTGATCAAATTGCTATCCAGTGTAAGATATCCCACAGGGTATTAAACAAATGCAACTAAATAATACGACACATGCAAGAATATTCGTTCCGAGAAGTTGATATGCAAAAAGTGGACACTCCTCGCAGTGTCCATCGGCCCAAGTCCGTGGTGTGGGGCTTTCCCTCTTCTGATCCACCCATCATCTGTACACTGTACAGATCTGTGCTCTGTTCTGGGTCCGTCGCCTAGACGGTGTACTGTTAGAATACGCTGCTGCCCGAAACCCGACAGTAAGCCCGCATTCACGAGGTTCGGCGATGTCCTAGCCCATGTACCAGACGCTCATGCCATGTCCATGGCCCCTGACGCTAGCCTCTGTGTGGGGGTTTATTCGGCAGACGGCTCCCTTGCTACCCCCTTGCACTTCCCCTGAGCAACATGGATGTTTCTGGCCGTGGTGCGTGTGAACACAGCACCACAAATGGGACACTCTGCTTTGGCAACCACTCCCGACTTCTCTCGTTGGTGGCGGAGCAGGTTGCTGAAGGTAGAAAATTCACGCCCGTTGCATCCGTGGTCCCAACATTGAGGTTTTGGCCGAAAACTGAGAACGCGAACTTGATCTGGATCTGAGGAACTGGGAGCTGACTCGGGAGAGGAATACACTGTCCCTGATGGCATCAGGTTATGTGGTTGGGGAATAGAGTTGGGGGTTTGCCTGGTAATGCAAAATGGTTAGTAGGTGGAACGAAGACTTGATGGCTAACGTGGCCACTCACGAGAGTGAAGAGTTCGGCGTTAGGTAGTAATCTGGCTGATTGACTAGGTATGAAGGAGGTCTAGGAACAAGTTAGTCTTAAGATTCGTCTCCTGATGCACTCGGTCTCCTCACGTTGATGTAAAAGAGGGATCTGGCATGGTAGGTGGGCTGCCAGATACGGAAGCGCTGGGATAAGGATATGGAATGGAAGAACTATGAAATCGATCAATTTTCATCCCAGTTAACTCAGGTAGTACGGATATTGGTACCTTCGAGGCTGATGTCGGCTCTGGGGCACACCCGGCTGTGGGGTGAGGTAATGTGTCGACGGGAGTCCTGGTTGGTAGTAACTCTGTGAAGTGGCATGCTGAGGTGGATATGCTGCTGGGTAACCGGATTGTGGTGGAAGTGTGTGTGCCTGGGGATATGATTGTTGATCCATAGGCATTGAAGTCGGATGGAGAGGCTGGGGTGGCCTGTTTTGCCAGCCGTAATCTGCTCCTCGTCAGCGCCAATAATTTGAAGAGCTTGGAAGCCATGCTTGCGAACATACTCTGAGAGTTGTGTGCCATGTTGGTCGTCAGAAATGCTACTGATCCGGGATGCATCGACTGAGATAACAATGAAGAATCTGACGCCCTGGAGGGAAACGTCTTCAGTAAGTAACACTCAGAAGAGAAGGTCATTTCTTTCAATACATACTGTGATATTTGTGAAAAGGCTTGCGAGGGACTCCTTTGGGCCAGTCTTGAAGATGAGTCTGCTGGTTCAAGATCCCGAGAGATGAACTCGGATGGAAAAGGCGCCCTGCCTAGGTACTGATTCGGAGGAAGAGGTGATAGATGACTCCGTCCTTCTCCTGAACTGATGCTGGATATTTCGCTCCGAGGAGAGCTGTAGACCGAAGCAGGACTCGGTGTACCAGGAAGCCAGCCTGGAAGAGTAGACGCAGGTGCGGTATCCGATGGGGTTGTCTCAGACTTTAGCGGAACCGAACCACCATCAGAGTGAGTAAGATCAACGACGAAAGGTGCCGAGGCTGGTGATGGTACTCTCCAACTTCGTGGAATAGAATCGCCCAGCTGTCTGTGACGAACGAACGAGTCGCCTGGTGAGTGATAGAATTCACTGGAAAACATGGGTGCTCGATTTAAGTACGCCAAAACCACAAGAACAAGAGAGGCGATCAACAACTGAGCGAATGACAAGGATGAAGATAATGGATGTTTTAGGAAGATGATTCAAGAAGAAATGGAAATTGCAGAAGATCAACGATGGGGGGGTGGGTTTTATTAAGATGTTGGAGAGATGAAGGAAGTAAAGGGAAATGAGGAAAGAAGTACAAAAACCAACAGGTGCTAAGTAGATCGAAGGAAAACAAATCAGGGTACGGAACATACAGTTAGTTAGGTAGTAGGCTTAGGCAGAGAATCCTTCCGGATTGACAGCAACTATATCCACCACGGGAGTCCAGGGAAAGTAAGTAGTGTGGTAAGTAGTAGGTTGGCCAGGACGGCGGACGGGTAGATGTAGGTAGTAGTAAATCAATTCGATAACCCTTTTTTGTGTTCCAGAAGCCCGGCTAGAAGAGAGTATTTAACGCCTGGTGGCCTAGTGATAGCCAGACGAGCGAGAGACCGAATAAGCGCAACGAACGGGGGCCGGGGATTACCTGGTGGTTCGTCTTTTGGAAACTGGCAGCTTATGGCGGGTGGGCAATGCGTGAGAGAGAACGAGGGTGGGTGCTGTGTGTATGTATTTTACCTGGGCTTATGCCACTAGATCGGAATAGTAATTACGCTTATCCAGGATTTTTTTCGTATACGAATTACCGTGGATTTTTCTCGCTATTTTTAATTTGTAGCTGGGAATTGAAAAAAAAATTGGTTCCCCCCGTTTTGATTATGGGGTTTTCCTGACAGGTCGGGATATTATTGTGGTTAGTATTATTTTTATTATTATTATTTCAAATCCTCTCCCGCGCACTCGATGAAAGGCGTTATGTGTGTGTCTGTGTCTGTGTCTGTGTGTGCTCTTTTCACTGCCACACATCGGATGCTCCCATCTAACTAGAGGGCCCTCTTTTTATTTTTATTTGTATTTTTATTTATTGTTTTACCTTTCCCTGTGATCCCCAACCCAACAATCATGACTGACCTGCGCGTTACCTCCTTGGATAGTTCTTGGACGTGGGGACGATCCCATCTACGAAACTTCCCCTTCATCTGATCATGTCCATCGGTCGCATTGTTGGTAGCCACAAGCTTCCCCCATTTGTGGTCTGATGATTGTAGAGCATGGAGAACCATCCATCTCCATCATCGTGTTAAGCGGGTCCGTCATTGAAGAACGTTCCTGTTGTTGAGCTAATATTAGTCGTTTAAACGGTGACCCAACACCGTCGGACTTCACCACCCACCACCGTCACCACTGTGACTACCACTACTAACTAGTAGGATCGAACCCGGTTCATTTTCTGAGTTTATTTATTCCGGACAAGATGGGCCACGCCAGTCGGATTATGCTTCCTTCCGGCTCTGAGTCAGGGTACTCAATAGGGGATAGTCCTGCACCATCGCCACGTGAAGGTCCCAACAGCTCAATCGCACCCGGCCTGGTCAGCTTCAGTAGCCTCGAATTAGTTTGGGATGCAAGCGCCCCCCTGTCCCCTCGCTACTCCACTCTGGGAATAATGACGGGGTTAAAGGAGACCTTAGCAATTGACATCAGCAATCGTATCGCCCTAACCGGCCCGTCGATCGATACCAACACTTCTTTTCGCGAGCCACGAGAGGAATAGACTCGGAGATGGCGGGCTTGGGCTGAGAGCCGCCTGAGAAAGCAGAAACAAGCTCCTATCATAGTGGAAGAGCCGGCTGAAACTAGTTTACTCGACCCTAACCCCCTCTCGCCTCCCCTCTCTCTCCTCCCCAGTCTCCATCGGTTGTGGAAAGTTTTAGGGGGGGAAACAACTCCAGCCCCAAAAGGCTTGAGGGCGTTGAGCGTCACCGCCAGTAACAGGAACCGAGTGAATGATTAACAAGCCCCCCGCCCGATGATGCTCTGGTTTGTTTCGGCTCATCTTCCTTCAGAGGCGGCGTCGATGGATTTGTCGAATCCGCATGGTTTGGGGGCCAATTTCAGGATGCGAAGGACCTTCAATTCCCTGATTCGTATATCCAGGCGGGTCTGAAAAGTGTCCGCCGGGGCTAAAGGCAGTCCTGGCTGGGTAGCTAGTTGCGAACGACGCCGTCTGACATACGTGGAGTCGTGCGAGATCGTCATGATAGCAAGGCATGGCCTTTTAGATCCGGAACCACATGGCGATAAGCAATGGGCGGTTCAATTAATTCCTTCCCCGGGGCGATGCATGCTTCCTTCCCTCATCCTCCTACCAGGGATTGCAATGTAGGGGAGTAGGGGGAGCCGGGACCCATACCACCAACCGTCCCCTCGAGGATTCCCTTCCCTCCCACGATCACTGGGAGGCTTTCCCGCGCGCACCACGCTGAGCAATAAGACCCGATCATTGTTTCGTCTAGCGTGCCTAGCCTCTGGCGAATGCATCAGGCTCAGAACTTTTGTTCTGTTCTTTTTTGGCCCCCACTGCCTTAGCGGCCGCCAGCCACGCTATGGATCCCGATTCTTACCGCTTCGGGCTTACCAATGGGCCATCGCGTGTTTCTGGCTTCGTCTCCCCTTTCATGGCCCGGCTTTGCAGACCTAACTAGAATCAGGCGGAAGAAAAGAAAAAGGGTCTTTCTGGATTATTCCGCCAGATGGCCCCCCCTTAGACACAGTGATGCGCCGCCCCTCCAGCAGAGCATATGCCCACTTACCGTTTTTCCCATACGCCGTAGAAGGGATGATTGGATACATCCTTCGTACTATATTCTGACAATGCTCAAACGCAATGCGCTGGGGAGATCGACAGGTTTCGTTTCGAAAGGTTACTTTCTGTGACGACAGCTTGGCGCATCGCTGCAAGCTCACGGATCCTCCTGTCAACTCCAGAGGATCGCTGTAATCTCCATAAATACTCTCTGGGCTATTATCACATCCCTGAGGCATTCTAGACCCCAGGTATCAGCATGTCTTACTACGGCCCAGTTTCTTTTTCCCCATCATTCTTCCCTAGTGTGGGTTGGAATGATCGAGGAGCGAGAGGTACCAGCAGATTGGGTGCGAGAGGATGCAGGGACACCAGAAGGACCAGAAAGCTCACCATATATTCTTCCAAAGTGACCGGGGCTGTAAGATCCGGAGGATCGCAAATATTGCCTGTCCTGAAAACAGCCAACGGTGAAACGGTGGTCCGAAGGTGCTAGGTCGCTCACAATGAGGTCAAGGTTGCTGCTAACTGTTAGGGGAGGCGCTTTGGCCGACACGGTCAGACTCAGACCCGTGGACCGGCCCTAAGCAGGCTACCAATTACCAGTTACGTGACACGTTTATTTGCGCCCCTCAGAGTCCGGAGCATGGCGAGCGCCCGATTGTCCGATCCTGTGATTGCCTTGACCGCCACGGAAATGATCGGCCAGGATCAAGAACCTCGCTCTCTCACGGGAGGCAGTGGATGTAAATTGGATTAACCGCCCGCTCGCCAGACGCTCGAGTAACCGAACAAATCCTCCTCACAGGCACTGCCATTGATCCACCTTGCCAAATTCCCGTCCTCCTCATGGGGGGGAATGGCTGAGCAAATGAGCAATATTTGCTGAAATGAGTCTAAACCCAAGGTCAAATAAATTAACTCGCCCCTCCAAATATCGCGCTGATGGAGAAACAGAAGGGAGGAGACAAAAAAAATTGAGACAAAAAAAAATAAAATAAATAGAAGAAAAAAAGTCCAATAAAATCCCCTAGTTGTCACGAGGAATCTCCGTTTACGACCAAGGACATGAATCCTATTGACCAATTTCCTCCGTCCGTTTAGCTTCGCTGCCTTGCTCCACCGGAGGAAAGCCATGGGCACTGGCGGTTGACACTTGGACTGGTTGGTTGGCAGGCCGGCAACAGCGTCATTGAATTATGGGGCCCGTTCTCGGCGACCGCCATCCGAAGCGCCTGGGATCTTTTCCGCTCTTCACGGTGCCTGATCCCCTCGTGGATGTCGTGCGGAGACAGGGAGGGAACTGTGCACAGTCCAGCGCTTCGACGTACCGGCCGCAGCCAGCTGTCGTTGGGGGATTTGCTCCCTCCTGGCCGGGGACCACGCAGCGCTCCCCGTTGGGGAGCACCCGGCGATACGCCTGCATCGCATCACCAGCATCCGGGAGGCTCTCAATTACAATTACTACTTTTAATCGCTCTTTTTGACTGCCAGGCTAGCCAGGATCCGGCGATCGGGTCATAAACTCCACGTGCTGTGGCACTTTTATTGATCCTGCTAGGATTCCGCATGTGGCCGAGATGGGAGCCGTTCGAGGTGGGTAGCCGGCCACATGGTTGAGGTAACACCTTAAACCAAGTTAGCACTGCTACCTTGCCTCCCAAATTACTACCAATCTGATCGGGGTTTCTCACTACTAACTAACTACTAAGGCTTGCAGGGGTGGTCATAGTCTACCGGGATAAGAAGGGAAGCGAAGGAAGGAAGGGATGGGAGGGGGGGTGAGAAACACTCTTCCACGATCGCATGATCTGCTGGCTCCCTGACCGGGCTTCACTAGTTTCCTTTTTTTTTCATTAGAGTAAGAAGCCATTTCCTCTCGACTCATACCAACCCCCTCCAATCGAATGACCACCTTTTGCCGGCCGCCGTTCGGCTCCAACTGACCTACCCATTCGACCCCTCTTTGTCCCCTGGACTAAAGCTGCTCTCCACGCCAGCCCACATGTCTTGGACGTACGCGAGCTTTAAGCGCCAGGAATGAGCGGCTGAGAGAGTTACGCCATGCACTTTCGGGGTGCTAATGAGCCTCCAGCAAGAAGCGCCGTACGATCATGACATCGCCAATCCGATTCCAAATTGCTCGGGGTTCCCTATCAGCAGACAGTCCTGACCCGCCACCACCAAATCGTGCGCCTTATCGCAGCCAGCCTTGTCTCGTTTGGGTCACTACCACCTGCAGGCAGAGACTAGACTCGATCAAAACTAATAAAATTTAATAGGCTGTTTTCCACCACGACCAGAAAGGCAGTCCCAGCCAACCCAACCAGAGCAAAGCACTAATGCCAAGCAGACAACGGCGGCAAACCGTGCCCTCTCAAGATCAGCGACGCACATATGAACCAGCCTGTAGGTACCAACATGCATGACCGACCAACCCATCCAATCTACCCTGCATCACGGACCACCCAACTGGAGCGACCAAGCGCTCGGTTGATGTGATGTATAGAACCCATACTAGTAGATAGTAGCTAGCTAGCCAGCCAGCAAAGATACGTAAGTCTAGACTCTTGACGTGTCTGGAACATGGTCAAAGCCCACCACCACCACAAAGCATGCACAGGAAAGATGCGAGAGATGCGCCAGGCTCCAACCAAAGAGATCATTGATGTGTGTAATAATAAAACAACAAAGCTCACCGGACCTTGAAATGTGAAATGCAAAATGTAAAATGTCCAAGCGTCGCGTTTCCAATCGATTAGTTTTACTGGACAAAGTGCAAAATAACCCCTCTCTGTCTGATTCTCCCTCCACCTCGGCTTGATTACTATAAACGCCTAGTTACTTGGTAGACTACTACGTACGTAGATAGATAACCAACTCAACTAAAACTAACTAACTAAGTTAGTGATCCAGTCTAACATACGCACGATTTCGTCATCATCATAATGTTTTCATCTCTCGCTCTCTCTCTCCCTCCTACCCTCTGGTCCCCTCTCTATTGTGGGGATGTGTGGTTAGGTTCTGGACGATTGCGTGGTGGGGTAAATAGTACTAGACTAAAACTAGATATGCCGCATTCCATTCGATCTTTCGCTCTTTTCCCGACTTGTGTGTGTTTCTCCGGCCGGGACTGCATTTCCAAAGTTCCACTGCGAACGGTTTGAGTGAGACATTGGGCCGACTGTCCTTGGCTGATCTGATACTTTAGTACAAAGTTTGATTGATTAATATGCCATATCTTGTTTTTTTTTTTTTTTTTTTTCTGTGTGTACTTCTTGGATAGATTTTAGTGAATAAAAAAAAATAAGAATTTAATTCTCCGGTGTCAGTGTACCTGAGTAATAATACTATGGAGTAAATTAGTTAGTAGTTAGTATTACTTATGTCGCACTCATAAATGCGTGAGCGGGATATATATATTGAGCTACTGCTAATATGCTAGTCACACTCCTACTGTGCCACAAACGCAACGCATGTCATTTCAATCTGGCACTTCAATTTAGTAACTACTAACTACTAAGTACTAGTTGGATTACTACTTACTAGCCACATCACAATTCTAAACCGAACTTGATCTATCAGTGACTACTTACTATAGTGACAACCACTATGATCGCACTTCCATAAGTAACCAGGGGTCAACCAACTAACCAATAACTCCCTAGTTTCACCGACTAGTAAGTAGTCAATCAAACATATCAAATCCCTACTTTTACTGATAAATAGTGAACATTAGTACCAATGACAAACAATCCAAATACTAATTAAAAATCACAAATTAAAAATGTCATAATCATAATAATAATAAAAGAACGATCAACACAACGAACGACCCTATCGGCCCTCGCCGCGCCAAGAAAGATTCTTTGCAGATCCAAGCCCCGGCCAAATTCCGTACGTACGTACCGCTTCTATTTACCCCTGGATCGACTATAGTAAGTAAGTTTTAAACTCATATGGAAAGAAGATACATATACGTAGTCTAGGTACCCAATCTAGAAGATGTTTTGTTGTTTCGCCGAAATAACCCCGAAAATAGGTTTTATTCAGGCGGGTAGTAGAACTACTTACTAGCCATGTCAATCATGAGAGAAAATGGAAAAAGTATCTAGCTAGGTACTACTAGGCGTAATTGCCGAGCCGTCGAATTTCTTGTCTTTTACTCTGTGGAATGTGGATTATGATCGTGTTCTTGTGGATAATGCAATAATTAGTGTGAAACGGGGGTGGGAGATGGGTTGACTACGTAGCTAACTAGCTAGCTAACTTAGCTGGTTCGCTAGGGTAGGTGGTTAGTTTGGTGTGATGGCTGAGGTGAGCTGAGTAAGACAAGAGTGGCTCCGATCTTCACTAAGTTAGTGAGTTGTTTGGTCTGGGGAGGGGGATTTAGGACTGATTGGGTATGCTGGATGTTTGATTTTGGGGGCGGATTTTCAATGTTGTGATTGTTACCTGGATAGGTAGGGATTGAGTCACGGGTGTTGATGGAGGGAGTAGTAGTATTTACTGATTGGGAAATATTTGACGCTCGCTTCTGTAGTATGTACTGAGTGGATGGCGTGACTTATTATTCTAAGGAGGGTGGATGTTTAGTATAAATATATGTATGGGCTTGTGAATGATGTGTTGCGCTGATAGACTGTCATATGATTATCTCTGACTCAATAGGCAAGAAGCAGTATGCTCATGATAGGTAGGCTTGAATCTTATACATATTTTTACTCCAAACTATATTGCATGCTACTATAGTTTGCTTCAAATACACTCTTGATGATGGTTCGAACGTCATGGTATCATATACTCATATAACAAATACATATAGTACAATAAGCGTCCTCCCTATCGACTGACTGCCTGCCAAGTCCCAAATCTCGTATTGACCGTGCCTTAACAGCTAGAGTGCATCGACTCATTCTGCTTCGTCTCCGGTTCCCGTGGCCGCATTTGGTCCACAAATGAGCCTAGCCGGATAGAACTTCGGCGATATACATGCTTGAAGAACACTTTCGTAGGTGGTATACAGCTGACAATGAATACGACCCACATTTCGGTTCTGTAATATGTCGTTAGAGCGATACCTATGGCAAGATAGAGATGATGAGTGCTACTCACTGATTCCAAACAATGACTGTTCCGATCTGTTCTATTATGTCTGTTAGCTCTCATGTCGCCGTGGACGAACAGTACTACTCACGGCTCGGATCTTCGATTTTCGTCAGAACAGTCAATTGAACAGTTTTCACTATTGCACATGCCCCTGCCCTATTCTACGTCAGCATTGGTTCATTCGATAAGAGGGGAGGTGCAGTACACGACGCCAAATCCCATTAGTACGCAGAGACCGATCCGAGTCGCTATCGAGAAAGCGTGGACCCGAGCAAGGAAAGAAACGGGATATAACGCGAGTGCAAAGTCGCAAACAGCGGACCAAGCTGTCAATGTTAGACATGAACCCACGGAAGCGAGGAACTACACTCACGTCCTTGAATATAACCGAATATCTGTATACGGCTGCGATAAGGACAATACCCCTTAGCATATGCTTCCCACAGCATCCTCCTCGGCGAGCATTGAAGCATCATGAGGATGGCAGCGACACAGTTCACGACGAGGTTGCTGCCCGCCAAAGACCAAAGAAATATGCTTCTGGCTTTGGTCTGATAACCTTGGACTTGTTCGAGAAAGGCGACAATGGTAAGCTTCCCCAACCCAATCGCAACGAGGGCAAGCAATTGGTTAACCCAGCCATATAGTAGTGCCATCTTGCTCTCGTTGAATGTTAGCATGTCTTGCGGAAGACCAAGCCCGTATGTAGCTCCGACAGTGATCATCGCCATGCTTGCAGCTCCCAGGATCTGTCGCATCGATATTAGCAGCAATATGGTAAGCTGAGGTAGAAGAGTACTCACAAATGTTGCTATCGCCAAATATAGGTCTTTCGCCACATTATGAATAAGTTTGGACGCAGCAACGCATCGAGCGATCATGAAGATGATCGCCAACCCAAATTCGACCCATGTCACAATGAAGAATGGCTGTCCGAAGCCATTTGGATGCTCGTCGCTCATTGACTGTTAATTGCGAAGTATGCTAGTTTGTTACTATGGCGCAGTCGCTGCATATCTAGTAAAACCAAGACCAACTTGAGTTGCTCGGCCACTCGGGTGTGGTTGACGTGGAAAGAGATATAGTATTGCTCGGCACAACGCAATTCTGAGTGCCCGCCACGACGAAATACAAGCTACCACCGCCTCATAAGTCGAAAAGAATAAGAAGACAAGGATTGTGACGAACCTTCCGGTGGAACCCAAGTTGAGATAGCTGCAATTGGGTTGGCTGTCAGGTGACGGACCGCCTACGTCAACACCCAGGGTCTTGGGTTTCCCCACAATAATAGAAAGTTTCTTTGAAGAGTCGCTGTTCCTGGCTCCTGGGAGAGATCTGATATCACAAATCCCGATCTGCAGATACAGTGCGAGGTCGAGCCTCAGCTGTGCCTTGCAAGCATCCGGGTGGGCCGGGAATCCCTATTGACATCATCGCGGGTGGGTATCCCAGCATAACCTCGGAACTACACGCCAGCCTGCCATGACTGTCGCCCAGTGTTCGTTTGACAACCTAGTTTCATGAACGATCGCTGCAAAGATTGATGGAGCATATACACACCGATGATAGTGGTGTGTCGCTTACATCTCCGTATACAACATCGTGCCTATTGCGAAGAGAAATGGACCTTGTTTTCTGACTTGCCCTGTTATTGACTAGAGCGCATCTCAATTTGCTTGTTTCCCATGGCATAGAAGATTTCGACAGGATGCGCTGACCCAAAACATTCCATATGCGACAGAATGACTTTGTTTCTTTTGGTGCAGCGACAGACCGACGTTCCCGAATCGTTCGAAATTGTTATGATCGCTTTCTCTTTTTTGCAGGAGTATCTTCTTGGCCATGTCTGGTTGAGGACACCCCTGGAGATATAATGGATTGTCCCGAAGCTGACGTAGCTCTCTTACCGGTGTACTTCGTCTTGAATTCGCCCTGTGGTGCCTTGTTTTGGGAAAGGTGACAGAAGAGGGCGCATATGCATATAATAATGTCAGTCACGATTAACCCTCCACGAAGTTCGGAACTATGCAAAAGAGCAAAGATCATCGGCACAATCAATCTGCCCCACACCATAAGGAAGAAACAGGTTGACAGTGTGGGTGTGCGCTCCCATACGGCCTTGGCATAATAAGGACAGTAGTACTTAACCTTGTCTAACGTCGTTGGTTCTGTCCACACTTTCCATCCTCTCTGAAGACATTCCTGGCAAGCAACGGGACTGGAATCTCGCTGTGAGCATGTAGCTTTCCTGCAGTTGAAATAGAACGAGGCCATTTTGTTATCAGTGAAACATTCAAGGCGATCGGACCAGAAAGGCTTCAGCTCGCTCTTCTTGTCATATGGCTCGTGATCTACTAGCCACCGCGACCAGCGTCCTAAGACCTCAGAGGCAGTAGCGTTTGAGCCATAAAAGTACTCCCGATGTTTCATACCATCACCGGGGCATATAGTATCACATCTGAAGTTCTTCAGCTCACTGTGGGCGAGCCTTTCGAGTCGTTTATACTCCCAAATAGGCATTTTAGGATCCTGTACCAACTCCCAGTCCTTGAGTTTACATTGCTTGTCGAGCTCTTTTTTGCGGTCTTCTGGCCGATCCGTCGATCCAATCTTGAAGCGCTGACTTTCATCCTTACTGTCTCGGTAAACGTAAGCATATCCCTTGTTGTTTTCGTTGTAATGACCCCGAATGATGTTGTGCATGTTAGAAAGAATAGCCTCTGTCGTAACTTTTGGTTTGTCGCCCTCTGCAGGACCCTGAATCTGCTCCTCTACAGCATCCTGAAATACATCATTCATTCCTGGTGATACGGCAGCACTCACAATGCTACCGCTGATTCTTGGTGTCTCACGTGATCGTGATAGAGAAGAAGGAGAGCCGGCCATTAGTCGCCGCAGAGCGTTTAAATTCTGGTCAGCTGGATCAGAATCTAACATGTATTGCTGTACTGTCATAGACTTCGGTGACGTAGAGTTTCCTGGGCGTTCTATATGTTCAGCTGAGGTTACAGAAGCCACTCTTCGTCTAAATTCCCGCCTAGCTGCAAACTGAACCGAAGGGCTTCGATCCCCGGGGCTTGTAGGTCGAGCAGGGTCACTCGAAATAGTAGCCACATCGGTAGGCGAAGGAGAGTCGGAAGCCTCGTCATTGTCGTCTGATGGCAGGTGTGAAAATAATGGAATGTTTCGAGGGAACGAAGGAGTGGAGAAGGGAGATGTCATAGTTGTCTCTGTGTCGAAAAATAGCGTTGAACTTTCGCGCATGGGCAGATCGACAAAGAGGAGGGACTGTGGGGGATTCAAATAGACCAGCCATGACAGGGATTGACAAGGCAGATTCAGAGGTAGGCCCCGAGTATGATTATGCAAATCAAGAGAACTGTTAGTATGCGGCTGTGCTGGGTTCATCTTTTTCCCCTCACCCAAACCAGTCAGAATAGCTACCTCCCCTCCTATAGCCTTACACCAGTGTAACGTCCTTTACCCGAAAAGTGCATTGCATCGCTACACCATGCAGTAGTTGAGACGGCGGTAGTGTTAGCGCATTGCTTAGTTCGTCCGGACCACCCAAAATTAGACCCGTCGGCGCTTGGGAATGTGGCTTATCTCGAGACAACGGGGCGGAGATATTTCCCGCTTAGAACCGATCATATCTATGCTCGAGAAGCTTGAGCACTCTATGGCTGATTTGCTATGTGACTATGCTGAAATTCCGATGCGTGAAGGTGGCATCCTTGTAAGGAAGATGTAGCTCCGGATACGTGGAGCGCAAGCAAGCGAGACGGGTGCTGCCCCAAGGGTGTTATGGTTGTTAGAACTTAGTGTCAAACTGTTTCCCCTCACAAGATGTCGAATACTGACTCGCGTATGCAGCCTATTGTGGCTGGACAGGCATGCTAAACCCATCGTTGCTTAGCCTTAGACCATCCGGACGGCGCTAGTCTGGGGTCCCCTGCTGTTGTCTAGTTGGTGCCACATCTCAAGGCATCATATGGCAGGCAAATATGAAAATACTGTCAACATTGCAGCCTTTATTCAAGATGACTGTAGGAAAGGCACCGACAAAAGATTTGAGGCCTTGACTCTGAGGCTCGCTGTAAACCTTACACCACTAGTCAGGGATTGAGAGCAAATTCTGAATAGCCCAGCTTAGAAACTGGAATTTCAAAGCAGATTAATTAATCTGTGCTAAGACTTTTGCTATAGCCAAATCAAAGATGTATCAACGTGGATGGCAAAGGGTGGCATCAGTAATGGATGTACCCACTGCCTCCGACAGCCCATGACAAACTCCGAGTGCGCCCATTGAAAGTCGTATGTATCATCAAATTGGGAAAATAGCCCACAGGTTATTTGGACGGTATAGGCATGGCCCGAAAATCAACGAGCGTTGTTCTGCAAAAATGGGTTACTAAAGATTCTTGTTTATGGATCTTGGTCTTTGATTGACATACCACATCACAGTGCAAACGCAGCAATCGCATTCTTCATCTCCGCAGTCGCAGCCAAAACAAGGCTTAGAGACAGTCTTGATAGGTCGCTTAATGGAAGAGCCAGAACTGGAGGAAGGAAGGGTGAAGTTGACAGCGGAGGAAACGGACGAGGCAGCCATCGTGAAGTGCTTCGGGTATTTGAGGACTTGTAAATGTAGGATATTAGGATGGGAATCGATTTTGTATTTCACTTGGGAAAAGAAAGGATCAGGAACGAAGCCAGACCAGGAACCAGAGATGAGCCAAAAGTCGAGGCAGAAGAGAAAGACGCCATCAACGTCACTAACCAGCTCAGGACCCACTAGACCCTTCTGGGGTTAGCCGAGCCGATCAGCTCAGGCAGCAAAGATCCACCGCCCATCTGTTCTCCACTTCCACTTTGACTGCTTCATCCGTCCACTTCCGTCCACTGCACTCTCAGCTTCACACGCTGTAAACAGTCAAATTGCGGGATACTATATACACTCAAAGTCTGTACTCTCGGCTACCTCCATAAACCAGGCTAGGAACTGCATCTCCCGTGTATATAGGGCAGGTATTGATGAAAGTCTCCCATCTAGCCGGCGACAGCATTGGGGCGGTGCAGTACGGCTCCATACCCAATTCGTCCAAATGCCTATCTAGCTGCGACATTACACTATCGCACGCTTGGCACTCCATATCATATTGAGATGCCCTACTGAGCCTCAGCTGCTCCACATACCAACTTGAGTCGTTCCTCACCGCTCCGGCTTCATATAGCGCCAGAAAATTGGGATCAACACCCGCATCAACGGCTGCCTCATACGCCATCCGTTGGCCTATAGCCAGAAGCATGGGGCGACAACGGGGTAGTACTAGACTGTTATATTCAGGAGTTCTATGGCCTTTAGCCCTCTTCAAGGACTCTTTCATCTCTGCAATGAACCCTGCCTCGTGTCGTCCCAAAAGGGAGTCTGGCGTCTTGGCATCGGGTATCCTGAACCGGCCAAGAAGCAACTCAGTAGCCGAGCCTATTAAGGCATTCAGCATAGATATAATATCTGAGAGCTGGATCATCACTCACGAAGAATTTAATATATCACTTCATGAGCTTTGCGCCTCAACGCGACGTGCCAGCAGGCTTTAAGTATCGAATGTGTCGCATTGCTAGCTAACTTGGCATTTTACCATCGTTCCAAGCGTTAGGATTAATTAATACTCTCTCAAAACCATGCATTGCAGAAACCAGCCACTTGCTCAAATTAAATGCAGATCGGCCAGCAAATTGGTTTAGAGATTCTACAGCCGGGCCTCCAGGTATACAACAAGAAATCAGGCCGAGCTTCCGAGCTGCTTAAGCTCTGACACCGGATTCTCGTCCATCCAAACTCTGATATCCACATTGGACCCTAAGCTAGGCCTACCACAGCTGACCTAGGGTGCTGTCTTTCAGGATTATTGATGACGCCTATTGGGTGTAGCTACCCTGGCGCTGATCAAGATCAAAAGGCCCCGATACACCTGTCTGGATGACTTTGAGACAACGGGGACGTTGAGTTGGTCAGACTCTTTGTCCTGCTAATGACTTTATAGCCTTTCGGAGAGGTCTTTTCTGGTTGAAAGTTCCGTATGGTTTGGCCAGGAAGCCAAGATATCCGTTTCATGGTGGACATACAGTTCTTCCCAAGGAATGAAGCTCTCAGTTCAATCAGTCATGACTTGGCACGTTGATTTAACGCAAGCAGCCTTCCTCATCGATCGACAGAGTGTCCTTACAAGTCAATTCTACAGGCTATACCGTAATGTGAGAGCTATGTCGTAGTCAACAGTTCATTTATCTTTATATGCTATCAAATATGTCTAGCTCGTATATACTTATGTGCCTCATTCTTGTTCCCCCGGAGGTTCAATAATCCATAATCTTATCAATTATCAATTTGAACTATCAAGACAGAAACAGCCAAGGTTTCTGACCCTGGAGAAGCGCCAACTGTTGGGCCGTACTCTTGTCCTACAATATCATATATCCGAGGGGAGAATAGGATGTTTGTGACGTGCTTATCTCTTTGTTTATTGCACCACCTATTTCGAAACCTCATCTCTCAGAACAAAATTGCGTACTTCCCTCCACGGCCGCTGGGCGTCGCTAATGAGCTCTCCTAATACATTAGGCTCGCACCAGAGGGTCTCTGCCGCGACGACACATTCCCCAGCCACCATGGTATCCCACGCTTTGATCTCCTCCATGAAATGGACAGCCTCAACAAGACGCGCGCCCTAATTCGGCAGTCCGCGTATTCCTTTTCGTAAATACGTATATGTCATTTGGTTTGCATCCTTCTCATAGCATTATAACTCCGCTAATTGGTCCAAAAAGCTTCTTTTCATCTATGACATGCCTAAGACGGATGAGATACAACGACACTAAACAGAGTCTATACCTTATACCCAGCCTGACAATCCCAACGTGCTGCGCCGTGCCCCCAACGCTCTGATGGCTTTTTTGATACAACGCCCCACTTGACCATTATGATACGTTGCAGGGATCTGCTCTTGAATCATCTCATGCAACCGCTATAAGACATTCAAGCGTCCGACGGTAGCTTTATCTACCAGACGCTCGAATGCTGAGTTGGCCCACGCCAAATCACCATGGTGGGTATAGACAGCGGGAGGCATCATCGTGGAGAATTGGCGCGCTGAATATTGGTCAGTATATAGATAGCGAAAGCCAAATAGAATGCAATCTTACTTTTAGTTACCATTAGACTGGCATGGCTCTTCAGACTTTACTCCATTATCGACTGGGGTTTCACTGTTCCTAGAAGCAGTCTCTCGATTCATCTGCATCTTGACGAGCCGTTTGTTAATTCCCGTTAATAATCGTTGTATAGAGGGTCTATAACGATGTTTCTCGCTTCGCTGGTGGCTATACCCATTGTAATTGAGCATTGCCGGGCCGGTAACAAAGGCAAAAACAAGCCAGAAAATATTAACCCGACCAAGAGGTGAACCAGTCAGAATCCGAGTAGCACTCCTCGTGCAGGATGCTCTGAAACACATCAGACAAGATGTGATGGATGGAAAAATTGCTTTTCTAACCGCCACGGTGGCGCGAGGGTCGGTCAGGCACGACGGCTGATCTGGAGCGGCACATCTGCAACCCTCTGGGCGACAGCAGTGGACAAGGGGCGCATGTTTGATGTCTATCCAGCCATCGCCTTCTGAGCTTGCCAGTCGCGAACGCTTCACACTGTGTTCTTTATATCGGCCGGATTCCTCCTCTTTGGGAAGAAGGCCATCGATGTCGATTGAGTAATAGAACGGCTACACTTCGTAGGGACGTAAGCTCCTCGTTTCCAGTCTTGAAGAACTTAAACTGACAGTTCCAGTCGAAAGTTTCATTACAGCAAAACCTGCTGCGTGTGTTACTATCAGCTCAGGTAGGGTTGGCTTTGTTTAGCTTAGACAGTATAGAGATAGAGACAGATTAATAAGATATACTCATCTAGAGCATTTTGGTTGATGGAGAAACGAAATTACTATAATATATATAATTATCTATATATATAAACAGAATTATTAGGGAACTTTTATAAGAGTAAATCAAATGCTAAATTTCTTTCTGATACATACTATCCAGTATATTTTACTGTAGTCTTTCCGGCATTTTACATATTATCACGGCGAATGTTAGCTATAGTATAATTACTAAAAATTCATAATTTAAAAGATATATGTTTTCAGGTATTATGTTAGACATATAAAGTTATATACGAATTTGATTCATGAAGCTTATATAATTAATTTATATGATATTCAGCTATCACATAAACAGAAGCAAGCAGACTGTAAATTCAAGAAATTAATGCTATATTTGTATCAATACTTGTCGTTTCTGATCGTAGAATCATTCGCTCCCATAGGTTCTTGGACATTCTTGGAACCCCATTTCACTAAAATAAGAAATATAAAACCTGAGCGCGGGTGTATCTCATGGACAAACCTAGCGCCTTTCAGACATCATGGACCGCTGGGAAGGAGGAGAAGCAGGTTCTTCAGACAGCTCAGGTTGCAAGAGATGAGTTAGCGCCGGACCAGGATTTTCCGCAATTAGATTGTATCCTTGCATATTGTGTAACTTGGTGTAGACTGAAAATGAAGCACGCATAATCAAGCACATAGAGTGAGTTTGAGTTTGATAGATATGCTCTATCTTCAATCCCGTAAACGGTGGCAGGCTCCGCATCCATGTGCTGAGCTCTTTTAGCTCTTCTTTTGTAATATCTTTTGAGATATTAACAGCGAAAAGAGCGTAATAGTCCGCGGGAATAGCTCGCGGGTCTACCGTTCTATGTCCGTTGAGTGGTATATTGACTGAAGCTGCACCGACGAGCAAGGCATGCGTGGGTCTCACTATAGTTGATGATCGGGTGAGAAGGCTTTGAAACACGCTGGTAAACTCCACACTTTCATGATGCGCTTTCTTCCTTCGAGCAATCTCGTTAGCCAGTTTCGCAGTAAAAGTGTTATTTGGTGCGGATCTTGCTGTGACTGTCTGGGAGCTTGTTGCTGCAAGAATCTCAATAACATTGCGAGTAGTCTTTGGTGCTCGGGTTGTGTAATGAGCATAGCAGCAATCAAGGATGAACAGGACATCAACCATATCCGAGAACCCCTTCGGGTTCTTGACGTCTGCAAGGATAGCCCTTTCAAAGTCGGCGGTCTTTGATTCTTCGCTCATGTTTTCCACAATGTTGAAAGACCCATTCTTGGTTGCCCCGTGGCCTGCATAATGGAATATTATCAAGTTGCGTTCGTTGTTGAGTCTCGCTTTCGCTGTAAAATTGAGCCAGGCTCTTGATAAGGTGTATACAGGGTAATGATCGTCAGAACCAAGAACCAGGACCTCAGCTGGATCAGTATCGAAATTCTTCAGCATGCTTTGAAAGTGCGCGGTATCTAGTTCGGCATTTGTATCATCCAGCTCCCATCTCACAGCAATCGAATAGATGTTCTGATACTGCTGGCTTCTCTGCTCCACAACAGCCCGGAGCGTGGCTTGGAAGTCAGTGTAGGTGATGGACGACCCCATTTCCATGGATGCCTGAACGACCATGCGGGAATGAAAGGTTGAATAGCTTCGTGGCTGGAAACGTATGAAAGACAAGTATATGAGGCAGGCGACACAGTGGGGAGAATGCTCCAAGTCACAATGTGAAGTCACTATTTAAAAGCCAAGCCGACCAGAGTAACATAGCACAGGTAGGGTCATATGCTCAGCTAGATCTGACTTAGAAAAGGCAAGGATCTAAAAAAAATCACAAATTTGAGATGCTCAAGCGGCGCTGGGAATAGTAGTATAGTAGTTAGTACTATGGGCAGCGGATGCAAACTCAACCATGAGTGTGGGCCCTTATATAGATTCTAGCGGGATCCAGACGACCAACATACTATCTGCGATCATGCAATTCTACAAAGGCATGTTCCAGAAACCCCCAAACCCTTTCAAGATATGGAAATTCAGGGTAGCTCAAGGTAGCGACACAATCACAAAGGCGATCACACAACAACAGTGGACGTGGGACAGTGCTAAAGAATCAAGGAAAATTCCAGACATCAATTCTCTTTATGAAGTCATTATAGAATGAACCCAGTCTTACCTCTGTTAGATCCCCGATAGCGACTTTACTCGCATCACTGATACGAGGCTAAGCCTGATCTTGTCTCTCAACTTTTCTTCCTGTTACGTTCTATGTAGATGGCTCTTACCTCATGGCAGACCCCGGATGAAATGCCAAATTGACCACAAAGGTACAAGATGAAAATCCATCTTGGTCGGGAAACCCCCCATGTCAGCTCGTCACTTTGTTGGCTTTACTCCGAGACGGTGTGACGCTTCCAAGCTGGTAGGGAGGTTACTCAATGCTCAATATGAAGTCAGCTTGTCCGAACTGATTTGCAAGTACAGCTTGTATTATCGACAGGGATTTCCCGTCTACCAATAAAACGTAGTCCTTGGTGCCCGAGCCTTGTTAGAGCTCTCCTTGTTAAATGCATCTCTTCAGATGAACACCAAAGTGTGCCTTCCGAATTATCAAAGCTAATGGTATCTTTCGAGCAGATCCCTAAGAGAATCTGGTCTGCAACCGTATATTTCCTGACTCAGAATCCTTGTCCACATAGACACCTATACCTTTTCAGAGTCATTATTGACTTCATAACTATTTTTATTCAATAGGTGCTCTTCATCTTCGAAAAGCCAGGAAGATATTCCGACATTATACCATGTCTTGGGGTAGGACATAAACCCGAGGTTGTCTCGATAAGCATATTTACTTAGGCAAGCAATGACCCGCAGTGGCTTGGAGAATTCCATTCTCCGCCGCTTCTTGCATCTTTTGCATGATTATTGACGTCAAGTTCGTGATCTTTCCAGCTGGACACTCTACTGCCCTTATGGGTATCTCAAACAAAACTCCAAGCTTCTAGAGATAGGTAAGGTATGCTTGGAATAGTGTTCTATTCCAGATTCTGGACCATGTAAAATTGTGACATTTTAGTAAATACTAGTATAACTAGTATTTACTTTCCCCCCTAATCCCAGGGAGCACAGTATTCTCAGGTGTACTGTCTGATGAGTTCAGAACCAACAAATCCTAATGCTGAAGCTGTAAGCCTTCCGCTTCGGGTCTAATTTTGGCAGAACCATTGTACCCGGCTAATCTCATTAGCTGATATATCCCTTGAGGGCTTTATCAAAGCCGTAACCGCGGAATCGAATGCATCGATAAGTGCATTACTGATTTTCGAAGCTGTCTAGCTGTCACCCGTCCATCTGGAAGAAATGGCCGAGGAACCATTTGTTTTGCTATACTGTATATAGTGCTATACTCCAAAGGAGTACTGTTTCGGAAGATGATACATAGGCCTTTCTCTGTGTAAGCTGCATATTTGGCTCAGGATAGACGTTTTGCAACCGAAGGCAGAGCAAAGTGCGACACCAAATCCTGCAATGCAATGCTTATACTGAGAAAGGCGTTTTCTGTACCTGAAAAGTGTAGTACAACACCCCACTTGGTCTTTCCAAGGCGCTTAGAAGTGGGTGAAATCTTCACCGGGCCACCAGTATCAGAGAAAAGTATTTAGCCTTATATCGATAAGGGCGCTGGTCTATCATGACCTATTACACGACCCAGTCGAGACTTTGTCAGGTCGTGTAGGGTTTCTAGCGCGCATAGCCCCTAATACATATCAGATTGATTTTAGATCATCTGGCCAAATCGGGTCACTCACAAGCTTAGCTTGAGAGTTGTATTTCCTATAAGTGAGAGACAAGGGAGCTGCAGGGGCTTTGGTATCTTTATTTCCTGATTGCTTGATGTATTTCGGTGCTCGGTAGAGTGTGAGAGCTGGGTGGTTATTCAAGCAGCTCTGTACGCGTCAGAGCAGTAGATAGCGGTCAGTTTGTGATTATGAACCTTCTCTTGCACTCGAAGACGGCTAACTGAAGTCGATAGACAGTTTTGGGTGCTCTAGTAGGAGCACCATCCCATTCCACAAATAGTAGTCTTTGAATTTGGGTCATGGCCACAATCTTCACGGAGAACGATCTCGAAGCGGCTGTATAAAAAGCGGCTGTATAAAATTTAATGGACCGGGATTGGCTGTCCGACAGCAACTGGGACGTCGGGATCATCAGAAGCGAGGACACAGTCTTGAACTTGACGTTCGTATGAGAGTGACGGCCGTCCCCTAACATGACATTGAAACGCCCTGCGCTGTGGCAGTGAACATCTGCATGACCTAGTCAATTTGGCACGCGCGATAGAGGGTAACAGAGACGGCTATGTACCTGGCTAGATTCAAGATGAGCAAATATTCTTCTTTTTCCCTTCTTCCTTTACCTAGTGTGGTATCGAGTGCCTCCTGCTCAATTGTTTGGAATAAGAACGTGCTAATTTCCCTTTGTATATGTTGGCTGTAGTTTTCATCTCCATATGATATTTTCAATTCTTTTTGGTAAGGTTCATATCTCACAGGATTCATGTGGAGATTCAAAGAAATATGATATAACTTATGATGATGGTTGTATAGAAGATATGGTATGAAAGGAGGCCTGTAGCTGTCCGACAGGTTGTAGGAAAGAAATTGGTTGCTCCGCGAGGGAAAGTGGTGGCAATTTATACGAAGGGCTGGTAATAGGACGGTGAATCAGGTAATCAACATTGGAGACCCTGTGAAGGTACATCATGCTCAAGGAAGAGGCATAGATTGAAGGGGGCAATATTCAACGATTGTAGAGTGATAGAGGCGATAAGTGAAATCCGCAGTGAAGGTTTGAGATATTCATTGTAACAAGTGCTTAGGCTGCTGACATCTGGAGGGAATTAGCAGCTGGTTATGCCAAATCCATTATTCATCTCTCTTTAATTAACGTGACGGATACAAAGGAGGAGACTTATTTGTCAAGCATTTGCTTGTCTAAATAGTTTCCTTAGCTGTAGCGAACTGGAAGGACTTTATAGGGTTTATGCGGCTACGTCTCTCATAATCTGGACGGCAAAGTCCGTTTACGTGACGGATATCTCCTGGTTTACGTGGTGGATGCGGTATTTGCCGGTAGATATTGTCATCAGAACGTCTTCCAGCAAGAGGAATCTACCCTTTCTACTGTCCAGCATATTGTCTGGATGATAGAATATACTTATGAGAGAATTTAGATACGGTAGACATCCACCTGGCTAGAGTTTGCAGGGAAAATATTATGTGCGGTCTGCTGATGAAGCTAGGAATATTCGTTCTGTTTCTGGTTATACTGTGGAGGTAGATAGTTCCTACTTTTGCTTCTAGTAGTCAGCAACAATAATGTGATGGGCTAGTTGGGATGACTACCTATTCTTTCCCGCAGAGTCTCGCCCCCTAAGTCTTCCACTTGTGCATCTCAGAAATCTTCCTCGCTATTCCAAAATGAGCCCTCATTCGACGAGAAATCGGGATAAAGCTCTTCGTCTGTGGCGTAGGTGGCACCACTGAGGGCAAGAACTCGATCTAGGACCCACTGCATGTCTAGCAACTCCATGGATGGAAGGGGGTGACTGTTAGGGTCGTTTGTTTTGAAGGTAAGAATGTCTCCAGAGCATAGTTTCTTATCTGTGGCAATATTAAACAGCATGGTTTCTTTTCCATCAACGGTTGTTCCGGAGAGCTTGCGAGACATACGACTGGGGACTTCGGTTGCGGGAATTCTCGAACGGTAGTTATAAACCGGGAGCCAGTAGAATTGCACCTCAAGTGATCTCCGATCCTCACTCAAGGACAGCGGTTTCAAGGCAAAGCGTGCTTTTTCCATAGTTTATGGGCCATATCCGTTATGCACAAGAGGTTCGAGCAGGCCTCTGTGGCTTCTGGGCCTGCAGCCTAATTCATCCATGCCGTGACCCTCTCTTGGCTCCAGAATCGGTGCAGAGGAAACCAAAAGTTCTGGAGTACTTGAGACTCCATTCTTCCAAGACCGTTGGGGAGTATATGTGCGATTTCGACCGGATCACGGCAACCGGTGACCACGCAAGTGGCATTATCTCGCTCAGTGCACTTGCTGAAGTTAGCGGAGAACTGACCTGGTCGTATCGAATATGAAGTTGACTTACTAGTCTATTGGCTAAATGAGTGGCTGCTTCTTCTTCAGGACTGGGACTCTCTTCTGTGTTCAAAGTCAACCGACGCTTCTTGATCGGAGGCCCCTCGGTATCTGATTCTTCGTCTTCATAGGCCTTCTCCAGTTCTTCTTTGGGCCGTGAAACCGCCCCTGATATTGTATTAGCCTAAGTCTGTTTGCATTGTATCAGACCCCACTTACAGGCATCAATTACTTGTGTTTTATCCTCACTCTTCGAGAGACTGCGGTGCACCATAAAACCGTGCGGTGAATTCAATCCACAGGATGACACGAGACTTTCTAAGTTCGAGAGATCCGCAAACCACAAACACGCCCAGGTGATTGAATCAAGCTTGGTAAGCTTTGCAGCACATACCAGCTGTGCGATCAGGCCATGCCGCTTTGGTTCACGAAGCTCGCCCGCGGGGCTTGGAATAGCTGCTTTACGTCGATTGGAGTTGTCTGCAGAGGCCATTGTAGCCGTCTCGGCTTGGTCAGAAGTAAGATAGGTGCCCTTCCAGGATGACAGGACAATCTGAACCGATATCCGAAGAAGAGAATCAAGGGACGGATATAGTTCTGTAGATAATGCTGCGGACAGCAGAGACAACTGAGACTATGACGAAGGACTTGGCTCCGAATCTTCTTACAGAGCAGATAAAAGATAACTGCGAAATGAGAGGTCGGATAGAGGCGAACGATTGTGCGCTAGAGGGAAGTATTCTCTAGGCAGTCGACAGTCACGATGATGTGATTATGAGTGTACATTGTACCCGGTAGGACAAGTAATGAGCCACTAATAGTGACGTCGTGACTTCAGCGTGATGAAGGACGGGCTAGACAAATAGGCGCCATTTATCTTTCTTGTTCACAATAAGAGACCCGACTCGACTTGGATAATTTAGGTCCCTCCCTGCCTGTATACAGCGGTAGTAATGGTAGTATCTACTTCGACTGAGAAAGAAGGTACAAGCATCCCAAAACCACCGAACCCGTAATCTGTCTAGATATCTATATGAAGATAAAGCACATCGACCAACCCGAGTTGCATCTGCAAGATCAAAATGGTTGGAAGATCGACAAAGATACAGATGTTCAGATACCCAAAAAAAATAACGCCAAAGGACACCCAACAACCCTACCAAAGCAAAGCCTAATCAACATCCCCCACAAACCTGAATACCAGCCCCTTAATAACCTCTCCAACATCCACTATACAAATATCGCACCTCACCACCTCATAGCAATCCGTCTCATAATACCTCAGCATCTCCTCATCCTCCTCAGATCCCACCTCATACGCCCACTCCTCTACCCTCGCCGACGCATCTCCATCAACCAAAGCCTTATACTTGCCCCCTCCCCAGGTCCTCAAAATACCTCCCTTGACCACTGCCTTCTGATACGTCGGGCTCTCATCCAACCCCAGACTTTCAGTTAGAGTCTCTGGCACAGCCAGATTCCCATAAAAGAAATACCACACGGGGTACTCGCCCTGCTTCGGAAGAAACACCTCATCGGCATCGGTAGCTCGGTTCTGCGGAAGAATAGGGTCGATCTCACTACCCAGACAAGGTGCGATGCTATTTGCAGAGAGATCTTTAGGGGAGAGATTGATTCGGACAAATGTTGCGGAGAAGGCGCTGCCTGCGAGAGCTGAAAGAATATTGAGCTTCATGGCGCCGGTGATGAGGCAGAAGTTGGCAGTGGAGGTTTCGCCTACTCCTTCTCTAAGGATGGGGATTGTGGGAGACTTGGATAGCACTTGGACTTGAGATGGAGTGCTTAGAGGTCCTTCGAGCTTAACGAGGAAGGTTGAGTTCTTGTCCCTAGGGTGCAGGGTGGTGAGGGGATGGGATGTGTGGTTGTAGTACTGGTTATTCGAGGCAGTTTCGAGGATGATGCCGTTGTCTTCGTTGTTAAGTGTAACAGCTAGTATCTCGAGCTTGGCTAGGAGGTCCATTGTTGGATATTTTATATTTGTGGGGTTTTGAGGGTCCTGGAAGGATTGTATGGGTGGGAATGATATAAAACTAGTAGACATTCTTCTTGCCTTCTAGGGGCACAACTAATAGGAAGTGTTAAGTGACGGTGGGAATAGTTGCGTTGAAAAGGAAAGTATTTGATCAGTTGACTTACACTATCATCCATAGCTGGAGTAGCTATATAACATCTCTACATAATAATATGGCTTCAAGTGTAAGCGATATGTGGAAATGACGTCGACAGGATCGGGTAGGTCATGCGAAAGGCGTCATGAATACCTAGACAAGCCCTGGACTGAATGTATCGTTCTCCATTGTAAGCAGTGGTTGGGCTACGTTATAAAGTTAAGGTACATCAACAATGAGGAAAAAGAATTGTGAGATACATGTGGCCAACTCCCCGTTACCACTAATATATATCTAAGTAGTACTACTAGATAATTCCAAGAAAGAGGAACCAGAAGGCTTATACTAACGATCGTTTACATCAGGATGGGAAGAAAAGCAGTGGGCCATAAAATTGAATTTCATGTTGATCTCCAAGAAATAAGTTGAGGTCAAGTTATGAACACAAGAACATCAACCAGCATCATGGAGCATGAGACATGGCACATGATTCCCATAGAGTAGACTCAAAACATGCCACCGACAGGGGGGTAGTTCAATTGATTACCGACATTACAGGACACATTACGAAAAAGATAGTACAAAGGCAACATGAACATACGAATCGGAATTCGATTTAACTCATAAAATATATACACCACTTTTGTTCATAATTCATAGCATGTCCAGCCATATTCTATAAGTTGTGGGTTCATCGCTCATTGGCTCCCCAGGGGTATCTTCTAACGTCGTCCATAAGAGTCCTCGTAGAGAGACCCGATCTATCCATTAAGTAGTATTTGGTCATCAAGCTGTCGTCATCCATCCTTTATTTTTTCATTGCCTTTACAGCTGGTCAGCCCAAGGGGCAGCACCAGGCTGCACCTGGTTAAGCCACTTGACAAGCTCAACGAGCTCGGCCCGACGCTCCTCCTCCAGCTGGTCCTCATCGCTGAGAACAGCCTGGAAGATGGGAACGAGCTGAGGAGTGAGCTCACGGACAGTGGGGTCCTCCCACTTGTAAAGCTGGCAGATCATGTGGTACAGGGGATCATTCTCCTCGTAGTCGTTCTTGAGGGGAAGGATGGTGAGAAGGACAGGAAGGACATCCTTGATGGGAACGTTCTCGCGGTGGCGGAGGATCATGCGGCTCAGGCAGCCAGTGGCATTGTCCTGAAGACGGGAGACGTTCATATGAAGGCACTGCTCCAGACGAGACAGGATGGTGGGGAACTCCTTGACGATCTGGTCCTTGGCCTCGGAGTGCTCGACGAGACGGCCAACGGCGTAGGCAGCGTTGGAGCGAGTCTGAGTATCCTCATCACCAAGGCGGTGGACAAGGAGCTTCAGGAAGCTAGCGGTGTAGGGGGTGACAGCAGAACCCATGCCGTTGATGCACTCGGCAATGACACCGACAGCAGTGGCGCGCTCAAGAGCCTCGGTGCTGCCGGCATAGCGCATGACGGTCTTCTCGAAGACCTTCCACAGCTCGGCAAAGCTGGCGCCAAGAGCAGCAGCCATACCAGAGACAACATCAAGACCGGTGTCAACAACAACCCAGTCGAATTCAGAAGTCTCCTCACCGGCTTCGAGGGTCTCCTCTTCAGGGCCGAACTCGAGCTGGCAAGGGTGCTTCTTGGTGATGATGTCAGTGATCATGGTGATCACGTTGTGGAGGGTGGTCTCGTTCGAGATCAAGGAAGGACCGCAGTAACGCAGGTTCTCAGCCATGTTGCGGTTGATGTCGGCGACGGTAGCACTAGTTGTCTTTTGGTTAGCTCTTGTAACCATGATGAAATCATACAGCAGAACGAATGTGTAGATAAATATCAGAAGGTTGTGAGTAAACGTGTTTCACATCATGCACGACTTTTGCGTGTCGGAGTGAGCTGGGTAAACGTGGTGATCATCATTTAAGATAGCCCGAGGGCGGGCATGGATAGGCATCGAAGGAAAATTTTGGGATACATACCGATCGTCTTCCTCAGTCCACATCTTGACAGTGGCGGTCATGAGAATCTCACCAAACTTCTGGACCTCCTTGGCAGGCTGGACCTGAAGAGGCAGACCAGGCTGCCACTTGGCCATCTGGCCGCTCTCCTCAGCAATGCAGTACAGCATGGCGTAGGAGCGGTGCAGGGTGCTGATGGTGCTCTTGCGGACACCCTCGTAGGGGTGCTCAGCCAAGGGAAGAACCATCTCAATGGTCTTCTCAAAGTAGGGAAGGTAAGCAGACTTGGTGTGAGTGACAAGATCACCGATCACCTCGACGGCGATTTCCTTCTCCAAGGACAGAGGGGTGGTGGCAGTGATGTCATCCCAAGCGTCCTCATCGTCGACATCAACATCCTCGATATCACCGTCCTCTCCGGTGGGCTCGTCATCATCATCATCGGCATCGGCAACACGGACCTTGCGGCCACCAATGGTCACTTCCTGACCGATGAGATCCTTGGCAGCAGCACCAAGCGAGACATCGAGATCAGTCTCATCCTGCTCGATGCAAGCAAAAAGACCCTTGACGACTCCATCAAGGAAGGGAGAGAAATGCTCAACGTAAACCTTGGACATGGCACCCCAGAAGATGTAGGTGCTCTCCTTGAGACGGGAGTGACCAAGGTGAAGAGCTTCCTCAGTAGCACGCATGAGGGGCTCAACGTAAGGCTGGTAGCGCTCAGGACCGGCAGCAGCGGCCATCTCACCCATGGCGTCAGTGACACTGGCACGAAGGTCGAGTTCTTCCTCGCTGTCCTTGACGGTAGCGAATTCCTGGAGGAGGTGCATGGAGTCATCGAAGAAGGGGAGGAAAGAGTCACCAGCGGAGGAGGCGAGAGATCCCAGAGCTCCAGCAGCCAAGCCCTTGATACGGAAGTCGGGGTGCTTGAACAGGTTGTGAAGGATCGGGACCAGTTCACCCTGGTAAGGGGCAACGTCCTTCTCATCGAGACCATCGACAACAGCGTCAATCGCACTGATACCGGCCTTCATGATGTCAACGGTAGGACCATCCTCCTCACCCTTGTACTCCTGCATGGCGCTGGCCAAGTTCTTGAAGAGGAGGGGCATAAGTCTCTCGTGCTCCTGGCTGAGGTCCTCGGCCAAGTCGTCGGCCAAACGAGCGACGGCGTGCAGAGAGGCCTGGCGAACCTTGGGCTCGGGGTCAGCAAGCAGCTGCAGGACCATAGGGAAGATCTCCTGCATCTGAGTACTGATGAAGTCGGGAGCACCCTCGACACACATGCCCAGAGCCATGATACCAGCGCGGCGGTAGTCGGGGTTGCCGTTGTTGAAGTACTGTCCCAGGGTCTGAAGCAGAGGCACAACAACCTGGCTGGGAGGCAGGCTCTGTGCGAGGATGTCGAGGAGACCAAGAGCAGAACGAGCA